TCCAACTGTACTTTTCAAGTTATAGAGAGGCCAAAGATTATCGGACAGACGACGGACTATACAGACGACAGACAGACAAAGCGACAGAAAGTAATACGGTTTTTAGTGAGTAGATGTCACTTAGTATCTCGATTTTGGAATTTTGAAGGTTACTTTCCTCAGTATGATGGTGCTTTGGTATCAATGAAGTTGGACATCAATTATGGAAAGCAGGTTGAAGCCGTTGTGTCACTTTACTATGTGGTCACCTACTGATGTTTTATAAATGTCTTATTTCTAGGTAAACTACGGTCTACATCTGTTCAGTGCCAGCAAAAAGGTACTTATAGAAAAATCATTAAATGAAAACCCACATAGCACACCGACAACACCGGCTAGCGAAATCCCAGAATACCAATTCACTGGAATGGAAGTACAGTTACCAAATGTACCAGCAAAGGAGATCGTGGGCATCCAAGATGCTCGTACCTTATTCTCGCATACCCACACATGGTTGAAACGAGCCAGACTGTATTACACATTGAGAGACTTTCCTATTCAGTACGTCAATATTATCTTGGAACTTAGCGAGCTGTACAGAGTCCAGTCTTTCTACGAAAAAGACATTGATAGCCAGTACGGTATCCAAAGGAAGAGGTACGAAGCTTTGGAAACGCTCAGCAATATACTGAAAGAGGTCCGACCGAACTGCTATGCGGCTGTGAATTTGGAAATAATCAGGGAGATTTTAGAGGTTTGTAAAGTTATGTGGATGAAGAGCAATTGCAAACATCAATTACATAAACGTTAACGTTAACCTTAGTTGAAATTAATTTATCATACAAATCATTGATTTGAATGTCAAATAAGATTAACGTTAGTGTTTACGAATGCGGTATTTGTGATTACCAATACTCAATAAAACTACGTTCTCATGGGCCAAATGACCTTGTGGCACGTTTTCGGTCTCTCTGTCGTGGCTCTTTGTCTTGAGTGGAGGGAGGAAAGTGAACCATTCAAGGGTCGCGGACGGTTCACACGATCACGATTCAGTTTACTCCTTGAAGCCGAACATGAAGAGGCTTGTGGTTGAAAGCTGTACAGCTTCGAGTTCAAATTTTAGTGGAATGTTAGCTAAAAGGTTGAGAGAATCATTTTGGACAACACAATTGAGTATTTAACACAGATCGTGAACTGCAGCAGACATTCCTGTCTCCCGATGGCACCAGAGTCAAGCTCACGTCACCTCTCATTTGTTCGAACGTTCTGGTCGAGGCAATTAGACAATTTCACGTATACGAGGATCACGGAAGCGTGCCAAGCTCCGTGACAATGTACAGTCCGATGATTGACTGGTTGGTCAGGTAACAGTGTGACCGACGGTTTTGATTAAAGTAAGTATTTATGTTACAACATACGGACATCCCTGACAATGCTATAAAAACAATCATGTTAAAACAAAAATATACCACCAACAATGTGCCAAAACGCAGATGCTTTATGCGTGCTAAATGAATCCAAACAGCAAAACACAGCCATCATGAGAGTAAAGTGGGCAATGGAAGAAATATTTGAATACTATTATAGGTGGGGGCTTACTTTTAATAAGCAGAAAACAGAACGTATTGTATTTGGGCGAGCTTGAACGTACCCTAAACAGATCAAGCTTGTCGAGAATGGAGTCTTAACCCCTGTCCTCGATCAAACACGATATACTTTATTTCACGAGTATACATCACGGTATAATGACAGCTGATTATCTAGTAATATTTCAAAATTCCCCATATCGGCACAGGACACATAATTCTAACATATCCGTCAACGCCAAGTAGACAGAGCCGAATGTTGTTTTGGTTTTTTGTACGCTACATATTCATTTTGTACCTGCTAACAACTCTTTTATTTAGAAAAGTTCATTTGCATACAAAAAACAAAACGCCACAAACAAATTTTACTAAATTTATACCCGATCCGTTATTGCCAACGTTGCAGATTAACACAAAAATGTCACTTGCGGATCAGCTGTTCGCGTCGGTAGACGTCAAAGCGTGATGGATACTCGTGAAATAGGGTGTACCTTGGGCTCAATCTTAATAAAACAGTTAGTACGGATGGCGACATTGAAGAAAGAACCCTTAAGGCTAATCGAGCAGCTCCAATCCAATCATTGGCCTCAGCTCGAAGGTTTTTAAAGAAGTGGAATTCGTTTAAAGAAAACAAAAAAGAATGTTGACGCAAATTTGGGCCTGGCAACATACAGATTCGTTTCGCCTTGCTAACGTGAACTTTGAGCTAAGCTGAATCTCAACTTCCATATCTTTGTTGCATCAGATGCACATAAAACTTGAGTGGAGCTTAAACAAGCAGTAAAGCTCAAAGAATTTTTCTGGTTAAGGTGGATTTCCTAAACTAAAATGTCAACTTGCCAGTTTGACATTAATATGAGTTAACCTACACCCTATTTCACGAGTACTCATCACGCTTTGACGTCTACCGAGGTGAATAGCTGATCAGCAAGTGACATTTTTGTGTGAGACTGCGACTTTGGCAATAATGAATCGGGTGTAAATCTAGAAAAACTTGTTTGTGACGTTTTGTTTTTTGTGTACAAACGAACTTTTCTAAATAAAAAAGCAGTTAGCAAGTACAAAATTAATCTGTAGCGTACAAAAAAATAAATCAAAATACGGCTCTGACTACCTAAGTTGACGGATCCGTCAGAATTGTGTCCTGTGCCGATATGGGGAATTTTAGATATTACTAGATAATGAGCTGTCATTCTACCGTGATGCATACTCGTCAAATAGGGTATACTAACCACTGCCTGTCAACATCTTGTTAAAAACTGAGGATATGGAAGTTCTTCAAAGCTGTAAAAAGCTCGCGTGATGATAATTTCAGAAAGAACAGCCGTAGTTTAGCCACCAGCCAAATATAAAATGGTACAAGGAAGACATTAATTTGAATCAGTTTAAATAGAAATACATGTCATTACATCACCCTGTTTGCCTTTTATTCATACAACTTTGGTGTGAAAGAAAACTTACTACCGACTGAATTATAGTTGCAGAGGTAATTTTCCTAAGTGTTACAATAGTACAGCAATTTTGTCATATGTAACTTTATTTTTGCTAATTTGTTACCAAATCTGAGTGGTGCAACAAAAACTCAGTTTGAGGTTGACCTTAAACTGGTTCCACACGATGTGGCGAATGCCTTACAACGTTGGACACATGGCCATTCGCCACATCGTGTGGGAGAGCGCTGACGAATTGCATGTCTCCGACGTTCACCATATGGCACGTTCGGGCTCTTGTCAACGTTGGAAGCATGGTTCGTTACGTTCCGATACGAGATGTCATGTATTTGATGGTTTTAGGTTATAACCAGTTATTTACTTGTTTGCTGTGATTGTGGTGAAATATTTTGATTTGAATACCTACCTATTCATTTCTGACGCTCAAAAAAGTTGTTGCATTCTTTATTTTGAATAAGTTTTCCTTCAGTTGTAAAGGTTCAAAAGTTCATCCCATCGTGTAAGAGACACACTTGCCAATCGTGTGGGACCCGCATTAACATTTGGATCACCTTTGCTAAGGCCCGTATCGTCAGTCGTCCCTACAATTGTAGGGCGCGTTTATGGCCTACTTGATTGTCATACTCCTTTCTCTCCTTCAAAAATTTCTAGATTACACTTGTCCCGTGTCAGCGTCAGCGCTCTCCTATTGTGAAGATATGTTTTCTTTTTGAATTGTAGGAAATTTCAGGCTAATAAAACATGATATAACTCAAAAGCAAGCACAATTTGATGCAAATAGATGTTTGTGACATAACCTCAAAATAGAGTTCTGACACGGCGAAGCAGAAAACTATGACAATCAAGGAGGCCATAAACGCGCCCTACAGTTGTAGGGACGACTGACGATACGGGCCTAAGTGATAGATTTGAGAGAGGCGGTAAGACCGGACATAAGCCTAACAACTTATTTACAGGTCCAGATGGAGATGATGCAATTGAACCTCAAGAAAATATATGGTCCAAAAGAGGACCTCACCTATTCTGGCGAGGCTGACCTTAGGAAGCGAATGGACACAGTGGCTGATATACACAACAGGATCGAGAGCTTGTGCGTGGAGACCGGCAGCAGCCAGGCAGAACAAGATGCACAAAACACAGAGTTTGACGAGAAGTTTTATAGATACGTGAAGAAAGCGGAAGCAATGGAAAGAGAACGGATTTGCGAGCAAGTACTTGAGAAAAACGATGTCAAATTGCGAACGAAAAGCAAGACACCCAAGCAGATGGAGCTAGAGAAAAAAGACTGCGAAGAAAAGGAGGATCGAAATGGCGAAGGCGAGGGTCAACCACCAATAACGAGTCCGATTATGTAAAATATGATGTATAATATTTTTTATCAATACAATTTTGTTCCATCAAACCTATAAATAATTATAGTAAATTAGTTAGCGATTCCATACACCGCAGAACACTAAACGTTCAACTCATTTGTCAAGTTTGTCAACATTCAGTACTCTTTCATGTGGGTACCGTATCACGATGGAAATACTTGCAAAGAGCGACAATAGAGTGTATTTTTCTATGGGCACTAAAGTTTTTATAACGAATGCGATGACCCCGTGGCTCAACATTGACCGTCGCATCAAGCACCCAATTCACAGTAAATCAAGCCAAATTTAAAGCAACGATAACCAACAGCTATTTGCCAATGTAGACGCTTGAATTGTATCAGTGAATTCTAGTACTCAATGCTCGGCATGGGTATCATGTAAAAAACCTATAAAACGTCAAAAAAAAACTAGGTAGTTTTTAGGGCGCAAGCAGACATTCCACGTTTGCTCACTAGGATCGTTGTGAACGTCCATCTAAGGGGGAATCATTCAACTAAACTAAACGCATTATTGGTTGCCTATGTTTTGTGAGACCGAATAGTTTTTGTCTGTAGTTTTTAACTCTGAGAAGAAAGTTGGTTGAATAGGAAGATCGCATCTGGATGATTATGTGTATTGGTCTGCATGTGTCTAAAATCGGTGATATTTGCTGTGTGAGAAAATCCATTACTGAATATGCTGCCAATGAAGTATATCTATTGGCTAGGCCCGACGTGTTATTTTTATGTTCTGCTTTCTGAAGAGAGGTTATGTTCAAAGCTATAAACTACGAAAAACTGAGGAGAACGGCGGGAAATCATCACCACGCCCGCGTTGTGTGTAATTACTGTTAGCATGTATATGGCTTGTATTTCGACAGTGTACAGTGAATATAATTATTTCTTATCTATCTCATTTTTGAAATTCAGCAAGTTTGTATATGTAATTTCCAGAATGGATAAGAAAAAGTGAATGCGAAACTAGCTTTGAATCTCAATTAAGTGTATTTGAGACAAGAACCCAATGTAATTATCATCAACACATACAACTTACAGCTTAGACCTCCAGTAATGCCATCTCAGAAGCAGATTTTACATCACATCAGAGCCAAAGATTGATAACAAGCTGCATGACGTTTAGGCAACACGTACAACTAAGTGCTAAGTTAATATCTTGCAGAGAAAACTACATAATGTAAAAAAACAGCATAATGTCAAAAAAATCGGCATAATGTCACTTTTCAAGTTACGTGATACCCGTGCGGATAGCATGGACGCGTTCACGAAATTCTTACGACGCGACGTTAAAGCGACATTAACAGCGAGACTAATGGAACATTCTATCATCAGAGTAGAAGTTTTTGCCTAGTCCTAGATAAAAATAGCCCAAAGTTGGTGGATCTACTCTCTGGCTACAAACTCGTTAAGGCACCATCAACAAAATGACAGGGAGAATCAAAGATACCAAGTGAGCACGGTGGTACTAGAGGGCTTTTCAGCAAACAATCTCGGCACACTTTACTGGAAACGTGTCCAACAGTTTGAATCCCCAAGAGAGAGAAAATTGGTGGGATGATTGATCTCTTGAACGACTATTTCATTGACAGTATTCTAAAAGTCCCATGAACATCCTTAAAGTTAATATGCAATAATAGTTCAAATTGTTCTTAGTAGTAAAATCAAGCCTTAATGTCCTTAATGCGGTGTCACAGAAATATAGCAGAAAGATGGCATGAGTAGTACCACAAATATTCTCCCATGAACAAACATGGATAAAATGTATAAAATATAAATTATCGTCTTGACAATTGCTATGAACTTTCACTACTTCGATAATAAATTAACGAAGTTTACATACTATTGAAATGCAAGAGCAGAACAAATAATGATCTGATGAAAATACAACAAAGAAACTTGGATAGCTTTATTAGTATACGACATTTAGGGCACAAAAACATTGCTGATCGCATCATTTACTCCATCAACAATGTGCCCAATCGGCTTCTTAATAACAAGCTGAATAATATTAAGTATAATAGGATGTAGGAAGAGACTGAGGGAATTTACTAAAGCCTCGCTGATCCAATCGATTGGTCCTTGTCCCGTAAAATGAACAGTTATACGTCTGTGAACAAAATGATTATCAATCAAAATGTAATGGAACTTTTCTTCAATAGAAGTGAGTAACCCTTACACGTTTATATTATTTTAGCACTATTTAGGGAAACATCTCAATTGTGGGCTTGAGGGCCCAATTGAAATCAGAGGTATAAACTAGGCTCAGTTGTCTTTCCTGGCTTGATACTTCGGCAGGGTTATTACGTAAAAAATCTACATAATGTCAAAAAAAAAAACGACAAAATGTCATCTTGTTGACTAGTTAGTTACTACTGGGCAAATAGTTCATTCCACTTTTGCTCACTATGAGCGCTGTGAACATCACCAAAAGCGTCATCTGTGGAGGAATGACTCATCGACACGCTTTAAAGACCAGTCAGTTGTTGGTTGCAGAATGCCGAGATGTTCTATAGAGTATATCTCTTAGAGGATATGATAGAAAATTGGTTGAGTAGCAGAATAGCAATATCGCATCTGGATAATTGTATGGATTGTGTGTATGTTTGCATGTGTGTAATCAGTGATATTTTGTATGTCAGAAAATTATTACTGAATATGCTGCCCATGAAGTTTATCTATTAGCAGTATCAGACGGGTTGTTTGTGTTGTCCTTTCTGAAGAGAGGTTATGTTCAAGGCTGTAAATTACGGTTTTCCTCGTTTTTTTTTTATGAACTTTGAGAAGCATTACGGGGAATCATCACCGCGCCCACGTTATGTGTAATTAGGCCACATCACAGAAAAATTAGGAATAGGTGTTGATTCTTATTTAATACTTGACATTGCAAAATAAATTTCTATAAAATTTAAATGACTGTAAATAAAAAATAATGTAAAATATCATAACTTTTGTTCACGTTTCATATCTTCACTATGCACCTATGCACTGCCGTGTCCTTCCAGTCAAAGTATATAACTTACAGCTTAGACCTCCAATAATGCCATCTCTGAAGCAGATGTTACATCACATTAGAGCCAAATATTGATAGCTGAAGCGTGATGACGCAGAGGCAACACGTGCAGCTATAGAACGAGTGCACATAGGGTGAACAACAGCTAGCTCTAACTTGACATCTTGTAGAAAAAACTACATCATGTCACAAAAAATCTATATAATAGCAAAACATGACATAATGCCACTGTTTAAGACACGTAATACCTCTGTCGAAGTCCAAAGGACCAAAAATATGTATAAGTCTTAAGATTGCAGCCGTAACGCATTCGAAATTCAGAAGGCCCGAAAGAGAGTTTGTTCTGTGTTCGTATCAAGCTTTCGAACATTTTTATTTCGATTTTCATGAAAGCTACTAAAATATTGAATGAACTACAATATTCATCAAAATATATTGCTTACAACGATGATATCCTGTTTCAAGACAAGCAATCTCAAAAAGGCGGAAAAACAGAATGCATGAGAACAGGAACTTCACAGGTCACAGGTCTACTGATCAACATTAAAATGAATTAATAAAGTTGTTTAAATTTATTTGAGTAAAATTCAATCGATGACGAAGTTGTTAAAATCAAACGTGGTATAGTCATACTCAACATTTGGTTTGTCAATAGTAGAAGGCTGTAGACTACCACCAAAACGGAGGTAAAAGTATTTAATCTTGAAGATGAAATGGAAAAGTATAAATGGGAAAATATTTTTTTTTTTAGAAAAATATTCTTCAAAACAAAATATTACTTGAAATGTCACTTTTATGAGACGTAATGCATCTTATGAGAGTTCTAACTGTTTGACCAATATAAATATGCTTAATTACAATAAACCACGTTAGACTTGTCCATTGTTTTAAATGGTGATTCTAATTTAAAAAAAAAACACAGACATTTTTAATTGCAATTTTGATGTTTAAATTAGCAAAAACGTTCAAGAGCATATGTATATGTGTAATGATGTTCTTACCCAGAGTCTCGTATGTCAAACTTGTCCAAATGTACTTTGTAGGTTGCATAATTGTAGCTGAGCTGACAGTCAATCTTCACCTTGTTTATCTTTCCTTGTACTGTACCTTTATGATGTAAGGCGACATGACGATCGTATTTGTATGAAAACTAAAACGTTTAAAGATTTAGAAATTTTTTAGACAATATTTTTGAAAAAAAAGTTATCACGTAAAGTTGAATCTCCATGTTTGTCTGGTCACTAAGTGAAACCGCGTATGTTTGAACTACTGTCTACTAACACAACGTTTCGGCAACCCCGGTGGCTTTTTTCAAGTTTGTTTGTTTTTTCTTTTTTACATTGCTATACAATTAGCCGGCGTATTGCGACAGGAGTCTTGGCGTTTGTAGGATGAACGATGGACGTGGGTGACCTGCTGGTACATTAAAAGCACATCAACGTAGCCACACTTTTTCTCCTCTATAACATGGCATAATTATAATTTCAATATAATTGGTGTATACCTACGAAATTCTGCTTTTCTGAAATAACTAAGGCCCGTATCGTCAGTCGTCCCTACAATTGTAGGGCGCCTTTATGGCCTTCTTGATTGTCATAGTTTTCTACTTCTCCGTGTCAGAACTCTATTTTGAGGTTATGTCACAAACATCTATTTGCATCAAATTGTACTTGCATTTGAGTTATATCATGTTTTATCAGCCTGAAATTTCCTACAATTTAAAAAGAAAACATATCTTTACAATAGGAGAGCGCTGACGCTGACACGGGACAAGTGTAATCTAGAAATTTTTGAAGGAGAGAAAGCACTATGACAATCAAGGAGGCCATAAACGCGCCCTACAATTGTAGGGACGACTGACGATACGGGCCTAAGGTTTGGCAACGTCAAAGTATGACGTATTATACACTTTTGGAATTAGAATTAAAAAGTCTATCAAGCAACACACTGTATATGCATGTGAAAAGGAAAAAACAAACGAACTGTGACCTAGCAGACAGCTAAACAAAGTTTATTTTGCCATCGTAATTGGTGGTAATTGTCAATTAAACTTCAAAAAGGCCACCGGAGGAGCCGAAACGTCGTGTCAGTAAATGTGGTCAGTATACAATAATTCAAACATATGCAGTTTCATTTAGCGGCTAGAAAAACATAAAGGATTATCAGCATGAAAACCGCAGGCTAAGTGTCAGGTGTTAAATTAAATAAAGTTGAACATTCAAACAAACTAATATAATATGGACTGTAGTCAGACCTAGAATCAATGAGCGTTATTAAACACTTACGGTGGCGAGTACCAATCAGGAGAATTCAAAACTGAATTAGTACAGTACTCATAACAATTAAAGGAGCAAGGAAAAAATTCAAATTGTTCGGTGATTTTTGAGAGGCTGTATTTCGTTGAAAAATGGTCGGATCTGGACTTTAAAAAAGGTATTTTTCAAGCCTTAAAATTTTAGGAGCAAGAGCAAGAGCAGACAGCGCAAGTTTTTTTACAAAATGTTTGCCTTGTTTTAGTCCATGGGCTTGAATGAAAAATTTTCTTGCTCCTTTAATTTTTTTGTGTAGTGTATGTTACTGAGAATATACGAAAATTTTGTTCTGAATGAGAATACATTATAAGTGTGTAGTTGTAGTATAAAAAATACAATGTCAATAATTATACAGGGTGTTTCAGTTTATTGTTGCATAACCTTAAGATTCGATAGAACTTTTAAAATTAATGCATAAAGTCTATATAAACATGGGTCGAAAAATGCGTGGCTTCCGAAATACAGAGAGTTTAAATTTACTTTTTAAAATAGTTTTTTTTAAATATTTCGAACAATATTTGATGTATAACAGTGAAAATTGGTATACAAGGGTTTTTTGGTACGACAAAACGAACCATGGGCATAGTTTTACTGTAGCCGCTAGAGGGCGCTCTCTACTGTACCTGTAGTGTATCAAAACGACCGAAAAATTTTTCTTATTGCAATTTTTTGCTTTTTGAATAAAATACTGATTCATCGCACTTTTCTGCATAAAAAGCTCTGCTGTGAGTTTTCGTTATAGTTAGCCGTTTTTGAGATATTTCGATTTTTAAGGTTCGATGCATTTTTAATTATTTATGGGAAAATAATATTTTTTTACATTTTCGATTTGGGCATTACAAGTAATTAAGATGATCGTTTAGATTGTGTTTTTAAACACTGCAATAATTCCTAACTCCAAATAAACACAAAAAACAGAATATTAATTTGTTTAATTTTCCAATATTATTTTTAACAAATTAAATTAATTATTTACAACTAAAATGCTATTGGATAGTTAGGACAAACATACAAAATCTAAAGTAGTTGCTCGAAATGTAAACCCAATTGTTCAATACACAATTCACATCTACGAATGATCGAACGTGGTATAGCATTATTCAATTAAGGCCTTATTTCATCACATGCATTCCTGATTCTGTCTATTAGCATATCTCTTGTGGTTACGGGAGTCTGGTACACTTTTTCTTTTGGAAATCCCCACACAAAGAAATCTAATGGATTTATGTCAGGGGATCGTGGAGCCCAGGCGACTGGTCCTCCACGGCCGATCCATCTTTCCGGATAATTTTCGTCCAGCCAGTTTCTAACTATTCTCGAATAATGAGCTGGACAACCATCAAGCTGGAACCAGGCCAATCTTCTTAAATCTAAGATAACATCATCCCACATATTTGCATGTTCAGCCTTTAAAAATTCCAAGAAGGTCGCAGCATTTAACCTTGCAGGCAAAAGGTAGGGTCCAAATAGTCGATTACGGTAGATACCAATCCACACGTTGACACTAAATTCATGCTGAAAATTTCTTTCCCGAACTGCATGCATATGTTGATGAATTTACCACTCCACGTCTAGTGAAGCCTGACTCATCGGTCCATAAAACGTTACTTAAAAACTCCCTATTATTATCAGTTCTATCAAGAATCCACTGACAAAATGTGATTCTTCGTTTTCCGTCCCCTGGCTGTAGTTCTTGCACAGGTTGCAAATGGTAAGGACGTCTACGGTCATTTCTAAGAACACGGTGAACATGGCTTGCTGAAATTCCCAAGGTACCAGAAACTCTCCTAACACTTGTGGTCGGATCTCTATCAAACTCACGCAGAATCATACGGGTAAATCTGCGCTGACGAACATTTATGTTTTGATCCCTTTGGAGATTTCCAAAACCATTTTTAATTATTTGGCGATGCACTCTTACAAATACTGAGCGAGTTGGATGTCGTCTGTTTGGAAATATTCGTGCGTTCAAAAATATTTGCAGGCACAGCTTACTTCTAAAAATTATCGAGATACTGACTTTTTAACGTTATTTTATCATAAATAATTAAAAATGCATCGAACCTTAAAAATCGAACTATAACGAAAATTCACAAGAGAGCTTTTTTATGTTGAAAAGTGCGAAAAATCAGTTTTTTTATTTTAATACACTGCAGGTACAATAGAGAGTGCCCTCTAGCGGCTACAGTAAAACTATGCCCATGATTCGTTTTGTCGTACCAAAAAACCCTTGTATACCAATTTTCACTGTTATACATTAAATATTGATCGAAATATTTAAAAAAACTATTTTAGAAAGTAAATTTAAACACCCTGTATTTCGCAAGCTACGCATTTTTCGAGCCATGTTTATATAGACTTTATGAATTAATTTTAAAAGTTCTATCGAATCTTAAAGTTATGCAACAATAAACTGAAACACCCTGTATTTGCAGAGCTAAAGTCGCCAATTTTAGACATTTTCAGCAATATACTAAAAACTAAAAGTTTTCAATTATCTGGCTTGGTGGCCGCCAAAGTCTAAGAATAAAATCAATACATACCACTAAAGTGTCGAACTGTAAAGGTAAGGCTATATTTAAAGTTCTGGTCTGGGATTTATAAGATGCGATGACATCGTCGAGACGGGCAATAGTGGCTAGATCTTGCAACCACCCTTCTGTTAAGTTAAATGTCCAGATAAACTACAATACAATGTTATTTACAATCTTCACCAGTAATGCAAATAAGTGCATATACAGGGTGATTAAAAAAAATGGCAATATTTCTAGAGCAGAAAATACATACAAAAATAACATTAAAAGTTCCTATAAGGTGCTAAAATTTCCGAAATACAGGATTACTGTGCAACTGACGAGACTGAATAAGAGAAAACATGAATATTGTTAATATACGCTATTGTGAGATGATGTTACCCCCCTGATACACTTTACAATTTTCTTAGACTATCCTCATCGTATTCCGAAATAGAAAGGATTTCATCTCAAATATTCAAACTTATTTATTTACAGAAGAAATAGATTCATGTTAATTAAAATATAATACATGATTTACCTACTTTTCTCTCATGCAGGGTTCAAATTTTCCTATTTTCTATTCAATTTGTATAACCTCGGGCACGAACATTTTTGTATGTATTGGCCAAAGTGTCGTTACTACACGTACGAACGTTTAACTCAATGCCTCATCTACTCCGAAATTACATCTTTTTTAAATTATAGCTTAAGACCTGGCATCTCAATAATGGAGCATTTCAGGACCCATGTTTATACAGGGTGTCCCGAAAGTATGGACACACCCTAATATCTCGGAAACTAAGGGTGCTAGAAAAACGTTAATTACAAAAGATTTCCCCATTTCATTGGCAAGTTGATTTTGCAAATAGGAACCAGCACTTTTTATTGCAGGAATATAAAGCAAAAAAATGGTATTTAAAACGGTATAAATATCATAGGGGCTAAAATTACATCTAGAGGTTACTTCAAGGTCAATTGTTGCTGGAAAAAGAGGAATATTAAAGAACCTTTTATGCGAAAATTGCAGACACCCAAATGTACATCTGATGGTGACCTTCATTCTGACCTTCAAATAGAGTTCAAAGTCAAATAGAGTTTTTCACATGGAAACCCTCAAATTTGATCCCAGTGCTCTAAATGGAGGAACATTTCATACTAATAGGTTTAATCAACTGGACCTTAACCTGTTTTGCCTTTAATGGACAGAGATAGTCTAACCTCGTTATCTGGAAGAATCAGTCCAAGATCTATTTTTTCACTTGCAAAGATTATCGGTCGCTTTAGTCTAATCCACGAAAATAGGTCATTTGACCGTGAATAACCTCTAGGTGTGATTTCATATCCGTTATTTAAACCGCTGAGATCAAAATAAAGGTTTTCCATGAGAAAACGACAATTTTGTCTTGAACTGACCTTTAAGGTCATATCCAAGGTCAGAATCAAGGTCACCATCAGATGTGCCATATCCTGCAATGTTCCCATTAAAAGTTCTTCTTAATAATCTCATTTTTTCAGCTATCCACTGCTTCACAACACTCCATGAAACCGCAACAATTGATCTTGAAATAACCTCTAGGTGTGATTTTTAGCCCCTATCATATTCATACCGTTCTAAAGGAAATTTATTTTGCTTTCTATTTCTGCAATAAAAAATTAGGGTTACCATTTAAGAAAATCAACTTGCCATTAAAATGATCTTCAAGGTGACTGTCAACGTCAAATCCAAGGTCACCGCTACATGCACCATTTGATTTCCTAAGACTTGTGTATTCAAAGTTTCCCTCAGTATGAACTTATATCTACTTATTTCTGTCCTGGAGATCAGTAGGTCCACTTTCTTATTAATTACCCTGTAGAAATAGTTCAATATAGGTACTTACGTGGTATGTTTGGTTGGGTAATTGAGCAGGATCAAAACCTTTTTTTGCAAGCAAATGACCGAAATTATGGATAAGTTTATCTGCAAATTCATTCAGCTGAGCTGTTATTCCGACACTAAAAAAATTCCAAATCAAATATTTTTGTTTTTAACTTTCAATCGTAAATACCCTGATACCTTGTATATGAAAAACCTAATCTAATAATTTTTAAATTATTTACAACCAAACTCATCGCAACAAGTAATCCTAAATAAAACAAGACGAATAAATAGATACGCAGACCAGGCTGACCGACCAGCAGACTTGAACGTATTTCGATAGACATTTTTGCATTCCCTCACTTATGGTTGGGAAACAGTAAATAGATGGAAAATATTATTAACTTCTGATAACATAACCACCAAACTGCGACTATTTTTTTCCTTACCGGGAGCCAAAGTTCCCGATGGCACTGCAGCGTCAAGGACTTATTGTGCATAACTTCACAATGGAAGAGCGCTGACGCCAAGACGAAGGCAGTAGAAATCGAGAAACAACCCTGCCTTTCTGAAGGAGAGCAAAGACTATGAATATCAAGAAAGCCATAAAGGCGTCCTACAATAATTGTAGGAACGACTGACGATACGGTCCTAAGTCACAATATTCCTTGTGGTGGTTTCTTGCCCATTCTTTGACTTGGTTATTGTGCTTTTTGGCACCTCCAATACAGGTTCTGGGCCTATATAGGGTGTGGATGATCCTTTTCTTGCGAGCTCATCTGCCCTTTCATTACCCACGTTACCTGAATGTCCTGGCAGCCACATCAGAGTTACTTTGTTGTCTATTTTCTATTACTTACCCTTCTGCACCTATTGAAATTAAATGTGCTTCCTCGGGTATAGGGTATTTTGCAAAGATGCCGGCTGGAATGTCGATATCTACAGAGTTCCTGGAAAATTCGGCTTCATGAAGGTGCGGGTCATGCAAGTAACTATAACGTACTAAACCATCTGGTTCGTAGTTTTTGAAAGCTGGAAGCTTGATTTAAAAAACATCGTAAGTAAAACTGTGGCAAATACGATAGAAATATCATGCTCACCCACTAAGGTCTTTTGATGGAATGTCATCCCAGTTAAAAGTATCTCCGTCATTAGCGAAATAGGTATTAAAAAATTGTTCCTGGGATTCTTCGGCATCAAGCCCACCACCAAGCGTATCTTCTATATACACGAATTCTTTTACCCTGATGGTCAAGCATAAGGGCAGTAACAGCCCTAGAAAAATAACTGTGATTTTCATAGTAATGTATGTATATAAGCCTCGGAGTAATCAACTGACTAACTAGCAGTTCCGTTAGTATTGTCGATTTTGAGTACCACTTATAAATGTTTTTTTATTATATCTGATGGTGTGAAGTCCAAGTGGAAGATATTAAGATAAATTTGTAGATTATAAAAAATCTACAGTCAGTTGCTACCCAAAAATGCCCTGAAGATACAAACGAAACTGAATTTTGTTTTCATCTGTGCTTGCGCGAATTTTCAAAAATCGTGTATTTGACATTTGTCTCATTAAAAATGCCATTCTCAAACAATAAATGGAATAAAAAATAGGTTTTGTAGTAGTTATTTATTATTTTTAAATGGAATTCACTGTATGTTTTAGCAAACACTGAACGATCCTTTCAAAGGAAGAAGTTTAACATGGCATACTATGTATAGGGTTTTGGATTGCCACTTCTGGAGGTAGAGGCTATTGTGTGTTGCTAGTCAGGCACTTTTGAACGTTTCGTCAAAATGAGGTTCATAACTTTCTATAAGCTTTATTTTGGTATAAAATTTTTCCCAGAAATTACAGATCAACATAAATAGTTACTACATGATTCCTGGAAAGGGAAATTTCTAGAAAACTGCAAATAACCCAAAATTTAGTAATTAGACCCACAAATTTTATACTACAAAAAGAACAAAATCGTACAAATATACAGGATGTATAGGAGATACATAAAATTTAAAAACGGTTAGACGTCGAGGAACTTTGGGATATATCTGCATCAGTGGCTGTCAAAGTTGAGTGACTTTTCGGACAAAATATCTCGTATCTACAGAAATAGCGACCCAAGTCTTATGTATTGCGATTAACACGCAAATTACAACATACGCATTCACAATAGATTTAGCGCAGACAGAACGGCTGAGCAGATCGGCGTTTCCAAATATCTATAAATGTACTTATTCTCGGTAAGTTGTAAGATTTATAATTAAGGTTGTACGGTAAGTTTAGCGTCGAAATACTCAAGGTACTTTATTATTGCATACATACATTGTTATTGTGCGAGGACGGGGTGGGGGGTGCGGTGAAAATAATTATTGAAAATTGGGTCGCGAATGATTAAAGGTTTAGACATTAAATTTAAAATATTTTCTAACACGGAACCTTCTCGGCTTCTTTTTCTAGAAACTCGCAGAAATGAGGCTAATTCCTCATGTTTGCAGATTCTCAAACACAAGTAACTTTGAGAAAATAGTTTATTTTTTCTAAGACACAGTTGTAATAAAATGAACAGTGTTTATTTGTAATGCTTATTACACTGAAAAACTTAACACATATCAATGACGAATTTAAAGTAAAAACAATAAATATAAATGGAATACATTTTATCTGCCGTCTAACCTTTTCAATAGAGTTTTGGCATCAACACGTTTCACCCTGCCTGAGTCGTATAGAAGCTTCTGCCTAAGATCTTTAGGATGTGCTTTCTTTGCCTTAAATTCTTCTATATCTTTTTTGGTAATCATACTCACTGAAGGTTTGGCTTTGGCGTTTTCTACGGTCCATGAGCTTTCCATGGTTGTGCTTGGTTTGACTAATCGTTTTGGTCTATTCTTAACGTCGGTAATTAATTGGCTCATTAAAGAAAAGGTTTTTGTCTTTAAATCATCGGTTACACTTGTTTTGTGTTTCTTTTTCTTACTTTTCTTCGATGATACTGCAACAACATTACCTTCATCTAGCTCAACCTTAGCCTTTTTGGTGTCACTTTCGCCTTCTTCAGAGCTTTCACTCTTTCTCTTTTTTAACTTGCTTTCAGAAATACCATCATTTATGTATTCTAAAGACAAATTCATTGAAATATCTCCCTCTTTGAGATTTGTAGTGAAAGATTCCATCAGGGAATGTATTCTTTCGCTCATGCCAGGGTCTTTGATATCTTTCACATTCACGTTTTCCAAAATGGTTATTGAGGACCTCCTAAAAGGTGTTTCAGACTTTGCCTGAGTTGCAGGTTCAGCCTTTTCAGCGCTTTTATCTTGAGGTACTATAGCGTCTTCAGTATCTGACTTACTTTCACTACTCGACGATTCGTTTGAAGTTTCTTGGCTACTAGCTTTCCTAGGTTTCACAGATTTTCCTTTTTCAGACATGATTATAACGTCGGTATCTTCATTATCTACGTTTATTATACGTGATTTTCGTTTTTTCCTCGTGCTGCAATCTATTTCTAGATCAAATTCGTGACCTGGTAGAAGTTTTTCTTCCTCATCATCATCACAGATGAACGAATCGTTTGAATCGTACTCATCAGTTCCGTCTTTTTCGGAATCTGTTGAACCAACCGACTCTCCCTCATCTATAATAGCATTGCTATCTTCTGAAGGAGTGTCTTCTTCACCTTCTTCAGCCATTGAATCAATATAATCGTTCTCTTCGTCTGATTCCTCTTCTCCGCAAGATTCATCCTCATTACCATGATCATCCTCAGTATCTCGTTTTGTAGATTTATTCGGATTCTTCTTCCGTTTGGTGGCATCACTATCTGTTTCACCTGATTCGAATACACTTTCATTCATTGACTCACTAGGTTCTTCAGAGATAGAATCATCCTTTGTGCTGGAATTTGATAGGAGAATATCAGCTATCTTAGAATCTATGTATTTATTGATTTTGCTAGAAATGGTAGGACTGGATTCGGATTTATCCACGACTGTAACAGGATCGTCCTGGTTCACCCATCTCGTGCTGTTTCTATCAACAGTTTTGAGCAGTTTTCTTGTTTGTTTACTTTTGTGTTGATCAGGTGTACTTCCAGCTTCAGTGGTACTATTATCATCTATTTCAATTGCTTCAGAGTCAGAAGTAGACAGCTTAGTTGCTGTGGGACTATTATCAATTTCCGGTAAATCAGTTTCAAGTTTGCTTTTCACTGGTGAAGGTTCTGATTCATCAACATTTGCATTTTCACTATCGGCAATTTTTGGTGATATAATTTCTGATCTTTTTTCAGCAACAATGACTGGTGATTCTTTAGCTGACATACCGGAAATGTTTGATGCTTCTGGCACATCGATATTCGCAGAAACTTTGCCGTCAGCAATTTGAGGTGAATTAATATCCGACTTTCTTTTAGAGACAGTAAGATTCTTGGAATCTTCACCATCTACAGCGTTTGACGATTTAATTTCTGACATTCTTTCAGCAACAGTTGCTGGAGCTTCTTCAGCTGATCTGCCGGAAATGTCCAATGTCTCTCCCAAGTTAACACTTGTAGAATTCTCATCAGCAATTTTCGGCGATATAGAGCGCGACTTTCTTTTAACAGCAGTAACTGGAGAACCTTGAGTTGATTTGACGGAAACATTTAATGCTTCTTTCGCATCAATACCAGCAGGAACCTCGGCAATTTCATCGTGACCAGCGGAAGTAGGACTCTTTGACTTTACGTCTTCAACTGTATCTTTTCCTAAAGTAAGACTAGTATCAGTTTTCGGCGATATAGTGCGCGACTTTCTTTTAACAGCAGCAACTGGAGACCCTTGAGTTGATTTGACGGAAACACTTAATGCTTCTTTCGCATCAATACCAGCAGGAACCTCGGCAATTTCATCGTGACCAGCGGAAGTAGGACTCTTTGACTTTACGTCTTCATCTGTTTCTTTTCCTAAAGTAAGACTAGTATCAGTTTTCGGCGATATAGTGCGCGACTTTCTTTTAACAGCAGTAACTGGAGACTCTTGAGTTGATTTGACGGAAACATTTAATGCTTCTTTCGCATCAATACCAGCAGGAACCTCGGCAATTTCATCGTGACCAGCGGAAGTAGGACTCTTTGACTTTACGTCTTCGACTGTATCTTTTCCTAAAGTAAGACTAGTATCAGTTTTCGGCGATATAGTGAGCGACTTTCTTTTAACAGCAGTAACTGGAGACCCTTGAGTTGACTTGACGGAAACATTTAATGCTTCTTTCGCATCAATACCAGCAGGAACCTCGGCAATTTCATCGTGACCAGCGGAAGTAGGACTCTTTGATTTTACGTCTTCAACTGTATCTTTTCCTAAAGTAAGACTAGTATCAGTCTTCTTTTCAGGTGCATTATTTACCTTAGCTTCTTCCGAACTGTCATCATTCATAACTTCATCGTTTTCATCTGTTTTTCCTTGAGGCATATCTAGTACAGTTCGCTTCTCATCAACTTCAGCGTCATCTGCCTCCATTACTTCGACCTTTTTAACATTAATGTCATCGTTCAATTCTTCTCGTGACACTTTCACAGTCTGGTCCAACTCAGAGTCCTGAGATTGTACCTCATCACACAAACCTTCTATAACTACTGTTGGCTGCTCATAATCTATCTCATCTTCTTTGTCCTTTTTCAAAACTCCTGCATCATGTTCATCCACTTCTCTCACTGAATGATCTACATCTATTTTAGTTTGACTTTGGTCTACTAAAGCATCCGTTTTTGAGTTTTCCTTATTTCCGACCTCAACATCATCTACTTTACTATCTTCTGATTTCTGTTTATCATCCGTTTTCTCCTGGTGTATTGCATTTTCATCATTTACTTTATTGGATTCTGTTTCATCATCTGAAGGAACTTCAAATTCATAATCATCCGATTCGCAAGTTTTATGGCATTCTCCAACATCTTCACTGGAATTTTTATCCGTTTCGCTCAACAATTTCCGCTGCTCTTCACTAAGCCGAATCTTTGGCGAGTTGGTTTTGGATCCAGCCAAAACGCTTTCATCGTTAGCAATGGAATCATCAACAGTCTCGTTTAACGTTAGCTTGAAGCTGTCATCTACTGACTCATCAACATCGACACAGGAATCTCGAACCCTACTCACATCCATATTTGTTCTTTTAGTATTGTTTAGCATAGACAACTCATCCACTTCCATAGGTTCTGCAAAGCTGAAGTCAACATCCTTTGGCCTAAAAACATTAGACACTCTTTGTGAACCACCCAGTGAAATCCGAGAATGCCTGACTTGAACCTCTTGCAACGGTACCTCGACCGATTCATCCTTCAATTTCAGTATCTTGTCCGCAACAGATGCTTTATCAGGAACAACTTCTTGATTGCTCTTTGCCAGCACGTTTTCCTTCTCTTCCTCCACATCTGAATTTCCAATATGATTTTCTGCTGATTTTGCTTTTGTATTTTCTGTTTGACTGTTTGATGCGTTTTCAACAGTATCTGTTTTACCAGCAACTTGCGATTCTTCGACAGTTTCTTGGTGCTTTTGTTCGTTCTCAATATTCTTGTCAATATCATGATTTGTAGATACAACTTCTCCATTTTGTTTTTCAACTGTTTCAACAGTATCTTTCTTTCCTTCATTTTCCTCAAGTTTTTGGCGTTTTGATGGAGATGTATACATTTCTGCAGGACCTTCTTTTGGTTCAGGTATCTTGCTTTGAGGTTCAACCTCACTATCTTGTTGTTCTTCTGACTTTGTATGAACACCATTTTCAAGGCTGACGAACAGCGACCTTCTAGTCTTTGGACTGCCAGTTCCGTCCTCTTTGACCACAGGTGACTTACTAGAGGATCTTCTCGTACTTTTTCTAGGAGAGATGGTTTTGCGTTTCTCTGTATCGTTTACTACAGGCGATTTACTAGAGCGGGTTTGTATTTTCTCAGGAGAGCTTGTGCTAGACTTGTTTGCCTCTTCTTTGGGACTCGTTTCATGAATAATACTGAGCTCTTTTATATCTTGTGATGGAGAGGCGCTTTTCCTGCTTTCTGTTTGTTCTTCAATAGGATCCAAAGCAACTGAGGCTCTTCGCTTTCCTTTAGTTGCTGTACTTTTCACTGGGGTGCGCACAATTTCCGCTTCTTCTGGGGTTTCCACTGATGATCTTCGGCTTCGCGTGACTCTTTTAGCTTCCACATCCACGTCTAAAGGTTCTAGAGACTGTCTTCGGCTCCTAGTTACGGGCGCATTTTCATTCACTACCCCATCATCTACTGATGCTGATCGCCTTCTTGTTAGCCTAGGGGTAACCTTGATTTCGGTGTTATCACTAAGTGAATTCCTTCTAGTTGGTTTCTTTGTTTCGGGTTTGGACTCTTGTGGCTTCTCGTTGACGGTTTCTGACGACACAGAGGTCCTCCTTCTTGTAGTTTTCGATGGGATCTTTGATTCTACCGCATCCTGGCTCACTGTAACAAAAATGTATTAGTCACGTTTTGCACAAATACTGACAATGAATTGAAGTATACAGGGCGTCCCAACCATGCGAGGACGGAGTCTTTTGCCACTGAGCAAGAACTTTTCATAGGGATGTTACACAGGGTGTTCCTTAATGATATGCGGATATTTAAGGGTGTGAATGTACATGAAAAATTAATGTTAGTTTGCTTTATAAACTATGGTCCAAAAATGTTTCCTTACAAAAACTCGGGGTCTTGAAGTTTAATGAAAAAAATGGAAATTAATTAATATTTTCAGAACCGCTTCAAATATTTGACTGATATTTAGTAAGTAGTGAAAGTTAATAAAGTTGCATATTTTTCAATGCAAAAATAATTTTTAGCTTTAACAGTGGCGTGCGTAAGGGTATTGACTTCGATATTTTTTAAGAAAAAGATGGTACGCCAATGGTTTTTTGCCAAATAAAAATTATTTTTGAATTCCCCGTTTAATTTAAAACAAATGGTGTCATTTGAGTTGCTTTCCTTCGATGCGCCATTTTTGAGTAAGAAAATAAAAACCGCACTATTGTTCTGTTGTCTTGCAACCCACGTCTCCATTTTTTTTAGCTCTATGCGCGGTCACTCCTAGAGCTGGCTCAGGACCAACGAGCTTACTGGCTGATCCTGTCTTCGCCAGAGTGTCCGCCGTCTCATTGCTCCTTATCCCAGCGTGCCCCGGTAGCCATATTAACGATACCGGATGCCTCGCTGCGACGCAATCCAGAGCCTCCCTGCATTGCAATACAAGACTCAAAGTAATCTTACAGGCACTTAGTGCTTTCGTTGCAGCCTGGCTGTCAGATAAGATTGTTATTCTTCTCCTAGTCCCACCCTCCTCCAGTGAGTTACACAAGCCAGAATCGGTGGGTCTTGATAATGGAAAGCATTGCGGTCTGATTCGCAAGTGGATTCACACCACAGGGTGACTCAAAGTTACAGTAATGAAACACCATTTTGATTCAAGACAAACCTTGGTTACAATCAAGAACTCCAGAACAAGAAAAAATCAGTCAAATCGAGCTAAAAGTTAAAAAGTTCAGAATTTGACAAAAAAAATTATGATACATAAAGAACTTTCAAATATTAGTTATATTATACTTAGATATTTACCTCGTCTTCCTCTTATTGGTTTAGTCTGAACAGGTTCTTGCTCTGATGCAGAAGAACGCCTAGTTTTCACTGAAGCAGCTGGTGCTTTTTCAGGACCTGCTACATCTTTAGTTTGGCTCAAACGCGACGACCTTCTGACTGGGGAATTTATGGCTTGGACTTCTTCTGCTGACAATTCACTCTTGCGCGACATTTTCAGTTGAACTGAAAAAAAAAAATTCACGTTCAATACTGATCCTGTGGTTGATTTATTGAGCACATACAGCCAACATAAAGCAGTATAGCAATGTAGTGCTTTTATGCTGAATATTAGTAGGGTTGCCAGTTTGACTGCATAAAAGCACTGCACTGTTAGACTGGTTTACCTTGATAGAAGGAGCTCATTTTTGTCAATAACTGAAACATACGATCAGGCAAAGTGAGAGTGAAGTGAATTAATCCAGTGGGTTTGAGTAGTTAGAGTAAGAGTAGAGTTTGAGAAAAGTAGAGCTTGGTTTTGGTTATTTATATTGCGATGAATGGATAAACCCATAGTGTCAAATAGTGAGATGTTTATAATCAGAGGCAGTGCTTACTGATAACATATAACATATTGTTTTGTTGGAAGTTTTAAGATTCACCATTCCTTCATTTGCAAAAGAGCTATTTGTTAATGTTGAGCTAGTTACCTATGATAAAGTCAACAAACAATTTCACATGAAAACTAATTTTAGGAATCTGATGCTGACAATGATGCTGTATCTAATAGCTAAATCACAAAAACACTCAACAACCCCAGACTCCGATGAACCTCTAGACTAAAGTCAAAGTTGAAGATTTTACTTCAAGTCAAATACAAAAATTTACCACACTGATATGAACAATGCTATTATCAGTTAGCATATCTTCTAGCTGTTCTTTGAAAGCAAGCAAAAGAACTGCTTCCCAGTGGGTTCTTGCCACTAATAATTCAATTCCTGACAAAATCAGATCCTTAAACTGACAATATTTGATGAAGATATTCTCAACACTTCAAATTGGTGGAAGTCCCAACAAAATGTTAATACTATTAAAAAACTACCAATAAACAACTGTTATCTACTACAGCTTCTTCAAATTCTGTTGAAAGAGTGTTTTTGACATATGGTTTGGTACAAAAAGCTGCTAAATTAGTTTTCCTGTGTAGTATTACAATTGACTTCCAAAACACATATTTTGTGATTGTTTTTTGTTGTTTAGCATTGGTAATGTTTTGTTCACTGTACATACCATTTATGTATTCATTAATTATTTTTATTTGTTATTAGTTTTATATATATTATCTTCCTTTTTTGAAGTTTCTGATGATTTTTTTCAGTTACTTGCTTTTTGCTTTGGTGACTTGTTTTTACAGCAATTTATAATTTGATTTAAATATTGATTAAAATTGAAAAGATCAATTGAAATCATTACAACTCTAACGAGTAGCCATCTACAGTTAATAAAGGCATTATCACTATTATTATTAGTTAATTGAAAACATGATTAATTGGGTGCCAATAAGTTTCAATTTGGGATTTATCCTTATTAAAAATGATTTATTATAAAAGCAAAAAAACGTTATTTCCTAATGTAAGAGTTATTAATACATAGTAGTGTAGTCGCACTGTCGACTGTACCACATATTCCACTTACAGCTGATTTAAAAAACCATGTCCTTTTTGCCCTCCATTTCAGCATATAAAGCAAAAATTGGGTATAATCTTAGTCTTACAAAAAGTAAAGCATTGTATTGAAACTAAAAACCAGGCATAAGAACTAGAAGCAATTTAAAATGGCAACAATAAAGGGCAGCTGCATTTTCAACAATAAAAAAAACGGCATGGGCGACTGACCTTTTTCCAGGTACGTGAATTTTGAATGCATACAATGATGATATTTGCCAGTATTTTAAGAGTGTTTAATATAAGCAATGACGAAAAACAATGGTTACATTATACTGGTATTCAACCATTATCGGTTTATTCTAGACACTTTTTTATATCTGCGGCATTTAAATGGAAAATGGCCACTTCAAAAAAGTAACGGCTGTTTCAGATCAATTTGAAGGAAAATATCTGTTAAAATAGTTACCGCACGTAGTGCTGGAATAAGATCACTCACGATATAATTGCCTCACAAAATATTTAAACTCTACTTACATAAAATGAATACAAACGGTTAAATTCTGGATTTAGTAGGACCACGAGCCCATTTGTAACGACCCACTGATACAGCTTGACAGAATTCGGAAATTGAAAACGTCAACGACCAGCACGTGTTTGGCGACGGTTGACAGCACACTGACATTTCACTGTCAAGAAAAGACAGGGCAGGCTCGGCAATGCTGTTCGCGCTGTATCATGTAGGGTATTTTTACTTGGGGAAATTTTTTGAACCACTACATTTGAAAGAACAAAGATGAAAGCAATTATACGATTATGATGATGCATCTGCTCTCTTTTGAATACCCGTATAGTTAAAAAAGCTACTACTTATAACATTGATCTGACCCACCATTGAAATTCGTGGATACTACTGGAACAGCGTTTTCATAACAAATACCAATACCATAGTTTAGATGTATTACTAACCAAAACTTGAGATGCCTTTAACATAATTAGGAAATTTTTTGATTATACTCGCATTAAACCCGCCTAGTTGCGTTTTACTATGTCGCTTTACTATACGCCCACAACGCGAAGCTAAAGCGGCGCGATGTGGTGCTGTTTGCTCGTCGCTATACTCGTCGATCCACTATGTTTTCAGCCATAGTAATGTAAAACTTTTTGTCCTTGGTTCGCGACAGATACTCGTGAAAAATACTGTAGGTAAATGGAAGATTTACAGTTTTTTAAATAATATTCTACAGCTAAAAGTTATCTTCAGTTTTTCTCCCGGATGGGGTTGACAACGCTGGTCTTCATGTACAATAGTTATCTTGTACTGGTGAAATTTATCGTCTTTCAAAATGCTATGTACTGTTGCGTGCATATTCAGAAGAGGTACGCTTACACCATTAATTATGTGTCCTTTGCCGATATGGGGAATTTTGAAATAATACTAGACAACTAGCTGTCATTGTTCCGTGATGGATACTCGTGAAATAGGATGTAGGTAAGTCCACGATTAGGTCAGGTATGTCGGCAGGCAGGTCGTCACGGATCAATTCTGAACTATACTATAACTATCTAAAACTGTAATGACTCATCGATGTTCACGTGAACATCACTTAACTACAAGTAGTCGGCTGTTCATAGGCGGGGTATGAATGTTTAACATGGGTGAACTAGATTTGTGACATGCTTAATAAAGAGTGGTTTGAAATATATTGTGAGTCAAAAATTTGGCAATTACCTTTATTCATCGTCGCTTCCACTTACATCTGACAGTAATAAACTGTCGCTATCGCTTTCCTCGTTGAAATTGACTATAACTGGCTCTATGATGGTGTCGATGTGGTGGTCAAGCTGCCACATTTTTGTTTCTTCCTTCACAACATGACGGATAGCATTTTGCCAAGCTTCGGGCGTTACTAGCTGTATGGAAGTCTCAAGTAAAACCTTAACGTCTGGTAATTTGAAGGTTGTGTTATGGCGCGCAATATAACCCTTCACTTGAGCCCAGATGAGCTCTATTGGGTTCTGTTCACAGTGGTAGGGCGGTAACCGCAGCACAGTGACACCACATTGACGGGTCATCTCATCAGTCACGTAACTAATGTTCGCAGGTTTGTGCTGTTTAATTTTTTCATACAATTCCGCTTTCACACATGAATCGTCAAACGGGATTCCTTTTTCGCGCAACCATTGCTGCATGTCACTTTTTCGAGATCCCATAGTCGGTACACGTTCGGCTCGACGACTATGGTACTATAGGAAGCATTATCCATGACGATCACAGAGTTGGGCTCAACTCGCTGAAGCACCCCTTGAAACCAGCTCTCGAAGCAGCTGACATTCATTTCGTCATGGTAATCACCTCCTTTCTTAGAGACGAAAATCAAGTCACACTCTTCTAAAAAGCCACTATCGCTACCAATATGAGTTACGATCAATCTTTGACCTTTCCCTGACGGTCCACGAAGACCTGTTGACAAACCTTCAATGCTTGCTTGTCGGTTACTCACTACGTTTTTGTCTATCCAGGTTTTTTTAACTGTGTGACCTGCATTTACCCATGTCTCGTCCAAATAATAGATTTTTCTGCTTTGTCGCCTATATTCAATCATTTCGCGTAGGTATTTTCGACGCCAGGCGACTATTTCAGGTCTCTCTATCAATACTGACTTCCGATTACGCGTTTCGTAACGAAAATTAATTTCGTGCAGGGATTTCCTCATTACCTCGACGCTCATTTGGGGTATAATTTCATTTTCCTTGATCGCTGCATGTACAGCCTTGAGGGTTGGTATCTCATTCCTAAAGAAGAATGAATGTACGGTTCGCCTTAACGCCATTTTGCTATCGTCATCCAATTTAACGGCCTTTCGTCCCTTCAAATTAAACTTTGGATCAGTAGTAGCTCCAGTTTTCTTCTTTTCATGCACCACCCTGCGAATGGTCCACTCTGGAACGCCTGTCATACTTTCACAACGCGCGAGTGCATCTCCCTGCGACATAGTTCTGTTCAGATAATTGAACACGTTGAGCACGATTTCTTTCGCGTCCCTCATCAGTGCTTTACGAAGCCGTCTACTTGTTCCCTGGCTTTCAGTACTTCCACTCGTGCCATTTGTACTCTCCATTGTTAAGTATAACCAAAACAGTAACCACAACAATAACAATCACACAACAATTCTTATAAAAACACACAATATGCGATCGCTCAACGAAACACGTTCCAATGCGCTGCCGACGCCTATGAGTCTGCCGGTCGAGGCGCGTCTTTGATTTCATTGGTTCTACCGGCGGAGAACAATCAGCCATTATTTCCATCTCTGTCTGTGCTGTTGACCACCGCAAAGCCACAGAAACGACATATGTCGTACGCTATACGGCTGTACTGAAAGGAAGCCGGGATCGAGCTCTGATCACGTGTTGATCACGCGTATGAGTCATTACAGTTTCAAATAGTTGTAGTATAGGCGTTTTGTATGCGTACGTGTAGATTTCACTATACCCTATTTCACAAGTGTTCATCACGCTTTGACGTCTACTGAGGTGAACAGCTGATCAGCCTGTGACATTTTTGTGTTAGTCTGAAACGTTGGCAATAATGAGTCGGGTATACATCTAGTAAAACTTGTTTGTGGCGTTTTGTGTTTTGTATGCAAATGAACTATTCTAAATAAAAGAGCTGTTAGCAAGTACAAAATAAATCTGTTGCGTACAAAAAACAAAACAAAATACGGCTCTGTTTACCTGGCGTTGACGGATCCGTCAGAATTATGTGTCCTGTGTCGATATGAGGAATTTTCAAGTATTACCAGATAACCAGCTGTCATTCAACCATGATGGATACTCCCACAGCCTCCTTCAGAGTAAAGGAGGCTATGATATACTCCTGAAATATGGTTGAGCAGAGTCTCCATCTATACGCTCCATTGTGCTCCATGAGCAATGACGTTACATGTTGGGATAGGTTACGGCCACAAAAGCCCGGCAAAGTGTACTACAGCACAGCGTTGCCACAGGTGGCTTGATATGACCAGATCTGGCCATTTTTAAGAACCTAGTGGCATCTTGTCCACTCTTTTCGAATTCTAGCCCGTTTTTCCACTAACACCACTTTTAATGCCGCTTAGTCGGTCAAATAAATTGTAACACTAATTACCGTTTGAACACGCCTGACCACTGGGAACTGTTTCTTAAACATAAATAAGTAAATAAATAGTAAATATAAAAAATCTGTAACTTTTATTAATTTTTTTTTCTATTAGATATCCGGTACCCTCAGCTGGAGCGTTTTGTATCAAAAATTACAATTTTAATACAATTCCCAGTTATTTTTTCTCAAACCATTTTTGACATAAAGCGCTACAGTTCCTTGAATGCACCGCCTACAGTAACAAGTACGATACAAGTAAATATATAGGTGGGTCAAAGAAAATCTTACAAAAAATATCTAAAATGGAGTAGTTTAACCGTGAAAAAAAGAGTTTTCCTGAACCACCAAATCTGGCTCTTTTTGTACGTAAAACCTAGCAAGGAATTTTCAGAGTCTGTGGCAACACCGGCAAATGTGCAAGCACGAAAATGCACGAATAGTAATCAATGAGAGGTGAAAAATGTATGTCTAGAAAAGTATGTATTTATATTTTTCAAGTGATAAATAGCCCCATAAAACTTGGGACAACCCACCAGATAGATAAGGTTTTAATGTGACTGTGCATAAAAATGCTAGATTTACTATAAAAGTATCAGAAATACAAGAAGAACACAAAACTGTCAAAATGAGTGCCAGCCACGGGCTTTCCAAGTTAAAAAAGAAACATTTCCGAGTGAAACACCAAAAAGTGAAGTTGTTCAGAGCGAATGAACCGTTCTTGTCAGTCTTCATGTGGGGCATTAATCACACGGTGAGTGGCATCGCTAATTTCGCACATCCTACATGGCTACATCCTGCACTAACAATTCAACTAATAACATGTTTACATCTATTTGTAGATCAACGAATTGATGCATGTCACTATTCCGGTAATGCTCCTCCCAGATGATTTTAGAGCATACTCCAAAGTTAAAGTGGATAACCATCTCTTCAACAAGTAAGAATATATGCACAAAATATATGTGCAAAATTATGGATTATTTAGTAAAATAAATAGAAAGATACACTAACAGTTGCCTGGCATTTTTTTATACTGTTATCATCGTTACTCAGTAGACCTGAGTGAGAGTTCCATGACTATTGACCAAGTAGGGTGTTATATACCAGTAACCTGGACACTGTCAGTAGTTGGACAAATATTATATTATTGGTAAAAACTTGAATATTTGAAATCATATACTTGCTGGTAAATGGTACCAGATTTATCAACTAATTTGTGACAGTTTACAAAAATTTCACATCTACACTTGTATTAGCATGTCAAAAACAGCATACATTCCTCAATTTTTGTCAGTTGTGTAGTGAGCGACATAAATTTTAAAGGTAATTGGAATTGTCAGCTGACAATATATCAATGATGTTCCAGACAGGTACTACATATCTTGAAAAGTGACATTAGATGTTATCTTAGCATTAGCTGATGGTCACACTGTGAACTCATTTTATAGTTGTATGTGTTGCCTAAACATCATGAGGCTTCAGTTGTCAATGTTTGGTTCTGATGTGATGTAAAGTCTGCTTCAGAGAGTTACTGGAGGTAATGGCAATGCATAGGTGCATAGTGAGGATTTATGTGTTAATATTGTGTTGATAATAGTTCCATTCGATTCCTGTCTCAAATACACTTACTTGAGATTCAAATCTAGAAATTAGTTGCACATCCACTTTTTCTTATCCATTCTGGAAATTACATATGCAAATTCGCTGAATTTTAAAAATGAGATTGATAAGAAATAATTATATTCACTGTACAGTGTCGAATTACAAGTCATATACCTACATGCTAACAATAATCACGCACAACGCGGGCGCTGTGGTTATTTCCCGTTTTCTCCTCAGTTTTTGAAAACACAGATATATATATATAACTTTGAACATTACCTGATTTTCTCACACAGCAAATATCACCGATTTTATACTCATGTAGTCCAATACACACAATCATCCAGATGCGATCTTGCTAGTCGCCTTCACAAAACATATGCATCCAACAATGCGTGTAGTTGAGCCATTCCTCCATAGATGGGCGCTCACAACGATCCTAGCGAGCAAATGTGGAATGACTGTTTGCTCCCCAAAAACTATCTAGTCTGCAAGATGACATTTTATAGGGTTTTTCACGTTTTATAGGTTTTTTACATAATACCTGTGGTGGTAACATATGAGTATGAAAACACATTCAAAATTGATGGAACGCCATGGTTGTTATCAATCTTTTTTCTATCCAACCATACAGGCTATCAAGCTTCTCTCTTGGCATTAAACAAACTCAAATACAACTGAAGCCCCAGCCATTGAACAGACAGCAAAAGATAACAAATAATGTAGATTATGTCCAGTGATATTGTGTCAGCCTACCGGAGTAAATGAAATTTCATAGCACCCTTCCATTTTCCCTCAATTTTTCCATGAGACTATGAAACATGTATATGTTCACTTCATTTGGGAATAGATACCAAGAAAAAATTAACTCCTTAAACGGTATGATATTTCAAAGTCGAAAGTGCAGGACTGGATTAAAAGAAGAAATTAGGTGCTTGTTCATTTTTATGTAGTTTGTATGAATTTTTGATACAAGTATGTATGTTGAAAGGATTCAGTATGAGCGATTAGTTAATGTAAAGTCTTAATGACATAACTGATTTGAAATTTCTATTCTACTATCACAAATTTTAAATTGCAACTCTATCTAAAACTAGCCAATCAAATGCTGTCTGACTATTAGCACCTTCTGCTGGCAAAATAGCACCTTTTTGATTAATTTTAGTTATAAAATTACAGGAATATCTTTAAGCAATGAATTTGGTTTCAGCAAAAATTTGACAATATATCTGACCACCTCCAAAAACATTGATATATTTATCTTGATCAAAAAATTCGTAATCTTTGAATTCAATTTTTGTCTAAACTGTCTGGCTACTGGCACATTCACCCTATTTAGACTATTAAGGCCCGTATCGTCAGTCATCCCTACAATTCTAGGGCGCGTTTATGGCCTCCTTGATTGTCATACTCCTTTCTCTCCTTCAAAAATTTCTAGATTACACTTGTCCCGTGTCAGCGTCAGCGCTCTCCTATTGTAAAGATATGTCTTATTTTTGAATTGTAGGAAATTTCAGGCTGATAAAACATGATATAACTCAAAAGCAAGCACAATTTGATGCAAATAGGTGTTTGTGACATAACCTCAAAATAGAGCGCTGACACGGAGAAGTAGAAAACTATGACAATCAAGGAGGCCATAAAGGCGCCCTACAATTGTAGGGACGACTGACGATACGGGCCTAAGTGCAAGTTGTCAGTTGTTCTCCTACTGCGGCGAAACTATGTGGAGGGAACCACAGCAATATGTCATTTGCAGCATCATGATCATCACATGTTGTTTCACTTGGCACTACTCTAGTGTGTGGGCTGTCATTTGATTGTGTCTAAGGCAAGAGTTTTGCTAGTCTTCTTTTTGCTTTCCTCGCTTTCAGTTTAAGTGCACCTTTATATCAAAGTGAGAGCCTCCTGTTTTAATTAGGATAGCCCAGTCCCTAGATTCAGTAACTACATTTACCATTTTAAAATACTTTTAAACTTCACTTATATAATCGTGATACTTCAATACAGCTCACTAATTGATTATTAACTAGATTCCTACTTAAAATTGTTGGTTAATATCATTGTAACTCTTGAAACTTATCCTGGGGTTCCATGTTCATAGGACTCCATTCTCTGGCCATATCAAACCATATATATGTTTTTATTCAATATAATGAAGAGAAAAAATCAAAACACAGGTGAGTTTTGATTTTTTCTCTTTCTTTTCTCCTTAATAATATATTACAATAATGAATCATGTAGTGACTTTAGAAAGGTATTCCTTAGAAATTAATACATGGACAGTATGATAGTGGAAATCCTAAAAGATAATGTTTTTTGTTAGTCTTATTGTTTCTTTACTATTGAAAAATGTACAGATTATATATAAGCTACATTTTTTCTTTTAGGGAAAATATGCCATCACATTTTAAAGTAAAGGAATACTGCCCAATGGTATTTAGAAACATCAGGGAGAGGTTTGGTATTGATGATTTGGACTATAAGGAATCATTAACAAGGTATTCAGTTGAACAAGTTTAGTAACTTGTCAATATTAGTTTTATATATCTCCAACTCTCCATCGAATACGGTTTGAGCAATCTGCAGCTTCTTCATCATTAATTGGACATTTGAGCAAGTACATATGCTGATAGAGAAAAAATACTGCCGTTGACAGTTTTGGCATTTTTTTTTTCAACATACCAACTATTTTCATATGAATGGACCTTAATGCTCTCAATTTTATAATATTTTGTCATTTTTATACCAGATGTCCCATTTTAATCTCCCTATCTCAGGATTTCGAAAAGTTTCATAGAAGTTGTAAGGTTTTGATGGGGCAAAATGATGGTGACCTTTACCATGTCCTTGACCGTAACATCCAAGGTCGTTTCAAGGTCAAGTGCTTTTTTTTCAATGGAACCCCTAACTTTTTGTACCGGAATTTGGCAGACAAGGAATATGACCTTGAGCATGACCAGGACTATGGCCTTCATAGCCATACCCTCTCATTTTTGTACTGGAATTTGATAGATTAGACTTAACGTCCGAACATGTACTTGACCTAAAAGTCGAAATCACGCAAAGCTTAAATTTTATTTGTAAGACACCCCTTGATTTTACACCAAAATTGCTTTGAGCAATAATTTTTTTTATTTAAACGGATAAACTGAGCAAATTAGTAAAATTACTATTTTAAGAGAAGTTAAAGTTCGCACTAATGTCAAGAGTAGATCTTTAACTTTTCTCAAAATTGTTATTTAACTAACTAAGGCCCGTATCGTCAGTCGTCCCTACAATTATTGTAGGGCGCGTTTATGGCCTCCTTGATTGTCATACTCCTTTCTCTCCTTCAAAAATTTCTAGATTACACTTGTGCCGTGTCAGCGTCAGCGCTCTCCTATTATGAACATATGTTTTCTTTTTAAATTGTAGAAAATTTCAGGCTGATAAAACATGATATAACTCAAAAGCAAGCACAATTTGATGCAAATAGATGTTTGTGACATAACCTCAAAATAGAGTTCTGACACGGAGAAGTAGAAAACTATGACAATCAAGGAGGCCATAAAGGTGCCCTATAATTGTAGGGACGACTGACGATACGGGCCTTACTTCATTGAGAGTTTACACGTTTAAGTATACAATTTCTTGGTGTCTGCAATTTGGGGATAAAAATCAAGGGGTTGCTTTACAGTTAACATTTAAGCTTGACATAACTTTGACTTTCAGGTCAGAGTCACATTCAGATATGTTTTCTATAGCAAATTGTTTGGAATGCATTGATTTGACCTTGAAATGTCATTGACTTTCATTGCCCTGGTCATTTTCAAGGTCATATTTGGACATAAAGTTTCCTCCTTCTTCAGTGTCAGGGTAAGGTCAGGTTCCATTTGAAAATATTCACTTGACCGTGAAATTACCTTGAAGGTCACCATTATTTTGTCGCCTCAAAAGCCAACAATCGATTTTTTAAACCCTTTAATTTGAAAACGATTTTTTCATATTATTCTGATTACTATCATGACTTGGCCTATCCCCCGTTTCCGGCTGACGTCGACTTCTGGGACACCCTGTAGAAAGTATTCCAACTATCTAAATGTTTTAGATCACAACCTCTCCCAGACGAATCCTCTGGAAAAAGTGGAGCAAAGTTCTACCTAAGCTACGATAAAATATTCATCATAAAAACACTCACATCAGAGGAAGTGGAAAGAATGCATTCTTTCCTAAAACATTACCATCCTGTAAGTCTTTTTCAGAAATCCGAGTACAGGACATTCGGTCGGGGTCTCGGTGGAGTAATTTGGGTTATTTCAGTTATTGTTATCGATATTTAGGTTATATTTTTAATTTTGAAACGTCTGTAATATTGTCTATTTTCCATCATTAGATTATTTTACTAAAAATTTTGTTCAGTTGATTCAAAAAAATTGTGTATGGCTTGTATTCATACTGCATAGATTTGACTATATTTCAGCTAAATATTAAGTACTAAAGTGGATGAAAATGAATGATTTAGTTGGATATCATTTATTACATTTCAACTTCAAAGTCTCAATATCCTAGAGAAAAAAAATGTCTTTAATAAGGATATACATGAAAAACGTATTAAGAACAAAAATATATACTAAGTGACATACAAATCCGAACACCCAAAAATTTTGTATAAGTACTTAATGAAGCATAATAAGTAAATGATAAAAATTTCAAAATGATTGCACTGCTTTAAAGCCCTTTGACCTTTAATAATGTGTGGATGCACCGTGATGTGCTACGCATTCTCCAACGCGCCTAGGCATGCTTCTGATCAGGTGGTCAATTTCCTCCTGTGGTATATCGTTCCAGGCAACCACCAACTCCTCTCGAAGTGCTTCTAGAGTCTGAGGAGGACGTTGCAAATTGAGCAATCTCCTACCCATCATATCCCACACGTGCTCAATTGGGGATACGTCGGGAGATCTTGGTGGCCATGGTAACAATGTGACATTATTATGTTGAAAGAAGAAGTGCTATAGCCCCAAACCATAACTCCAACAGTGTGATGAACATGTCTTTCAACAAAAAACTGTGGATTCCTCCTTTCACCACGTCGCCTTCTAACCCTGGCACGACCATCGTGCATGCCTAAACAAAATCGAGGCTCGTCACTAAAGACAATACTGTTCCATTCCTGATCCCAGAGTGACCGTTGTCTGCACCAGTCAAGGCGATTACGTCGGTGTTCTCGAGTTAAAGGGAGGACCCAGTGTGGCCGGTATGAAAACAAGCCAAAACTTCTCATTCGTCGGTAAACACTTCGCATGCCAATAGGTCTTCCGTGTTCTGCAAACCATTCATTTGCAATGGACCTGGTAGTGGAGAAACGGTCCCTTAAGGCCAATAATCTTAGGCGGCGAACTTCACGGTCTGTTGTTCTACGGAGGCGTCCAGTGTCCCTTGCTCTTTGCGTACGGCCTTCTCAAAGCCATGCCTGAGAACACCTAACCACAGTGTCTACACTTCTTTGCACTCTAACTGCAATTGCCCGAAAAGAAAGTCCAGCTTCCCGAAGTCCCACTATACGGCCCCTAACAAACTCACTAAGTTGACGAAATCATACAGGTCTCCGCACTCTAGACATCGTAACCGATCGTAAAGGATGTCAAGAACCAAAATCCGCCAACGTTGATTCTTTACTGCGGCTGAAATATTCATTTTTAGAGCGTTAGGGAATTAAAAAAAAAGCAGTATAAAAACCGGAATGTCCAACTTTTATTAAAATAAAACCATTTAAACTGGGTGTTCGGATTTATATGTCACTTAGTATAAATATTCTACAACATCGCTCAAACTTAGTTGTACTGATAATGTTGCCTCAAGATAGAAAGGAATTCGTGAGTCGTATAAAACATATTTGCCTCTCGTGTTCCGTAACAAGGTTGAACTTGACTCGTCAACGGTTTCATTATGAGTGTAACATTAATTATTTTCATGTATATATCATTCCACCCCTGTATCTTTTTTTTAACAACCGTTGGTCTCTGATTTTTCTATTTTAAAAATTTCTGTATCACTACCATTTAACGCACTTTGCAGACCAATTGATTAAGAGACAGAGTCGCAAATGCAAAAATTCTGTTAATTAAGACGTCTATTATTATTAGTTTATACTCAGCGAGCTCGGGTACAAACAGGGTACTAGGTGCAGGCTTATTATCTATGTTCTACTTTAAAAAACATGCATTTTATCAATTTTAAGTCCAATTTATTTCAGTATATTGTTGAGAGGCATGGAAAAACATTGCTCCCGCAATACCTAGGCATGTATCGATTGACTGTCGACAATGTAGAGCATTACATAGTTGTCAGTAGAAACGTATTTTCCAATCATTTGAGCACGCATAGGAAATTCGATTTGAAAGGATCTACTGTGGATAGAGAGGCTTCAGAGAAAGAAAGGGAGAAAGAACTGCCCACTTTGAAGGATAATGATTTCGTCAATGAGCAAATGAGGGTAAGAGAAAAATAACATTAACAGTCTCATATCATAGTTTGATTTTAAATGAATGCATCAGCTTCTTCGGCATACAGAGAAATCCATATACCACTGACATACTCGTAATGTGTTATGTATGTTAGAAAGATATACAGGGTGGCCAGGTGGCCTGATTTAAATTGCGCGCCATTTTTGATACACGCATTTCAGTAGGAGGCGACGTAGTAGTGGTTTAGAGCACATGTGTCCAATTCATCATGGACCGCTACACGATCCCACAACTTGACCGTATTGTTAAAACGTTTTACGTAAATAATGAGTCGATTGTTGCAACGATTCGGTCGAAATAATGTGCCCAGTATTCGTACTCCGGAAAATATCGAGAGAGTTCGTGAAAGTGTAATGGAGAGCCCTAAGTCGTCTACAGCCTAGTGACCATGAAAGTTGCCGACAATACAGTCATGCAATATTGTAGCTTAATACCCAAAATACTATCTACTACCGTGATTTGGCGCAAAACTTTCTGGCTCCTCAAATCCAACAATTTAACCTGCAAAACATGTGGTTCCAGCAGGACGGAGCAACTTGTCACACAGCTAGGGAAACAACGAATCTTTTGCGAGCAATATTTCCGGCACGTTTAATTTTTCGATTTGATGTCAACTGATCACCAAGCTCGCCGGATTCAATGGCTCCTGTCTGTCATTTTTTATGGGGATTTTTGAAAAATAGGATTTTTGCCAACAAACCAATTACTTTAGAGCAGCTGAAGAACCATAATACGGAAGCGATTGAAAATATTCCTCCCGAAACCTACCAAAAATTGATGGAAAATGTAATCAATCAATTCATACCTAATTTCTAAGTTTCAGTAAAATAATAAGATGAAAAAATGGACGAATGTAATTTCACTTCACAAATATTCAAGATACAAACCAGTCAGTTACATATCGGCCACCCTGTAGAAGCAACACGTTGCCTAGCAACCTGAAAGACGAGGCCACGTACGCAGCTGCGGCTTGCCGCGTTGCCATCGGTGCACTTTTTTCTCGTAAACATTATCACGTCAGTCATATTTAGATTTCTCTTTATATGTGAATCATCTGTACTTTTGTTTCTATTTGATGTGTTCGATGATTTTTAATCTCGTTCAGGTTTACATTGGTGAAGAGGCAAAGCAAAAATTGATGGAAACTTTAAATGCTGATGTCGAATTCCTAACAAAACTCCATCTTATGGACTACAGCCTTCTATTAGGTGAGAAGAACTATAGAATATTTTTGAAAAATAAGTTTCATTGTTAACTAAATTAATGACATCAATATATCGTGATAGAAAGTAAACATTCAGAAGGAATGACTATGCCACATTCTAATGATTATTTCTCGTTCACTAGTGGATCCTATAATAGGATTCTTAGAAACTGAATTAGATCGGACATTAATATTTTAGCCAAGGAGGCTGTTAAAATGAGTACAATAATAATTAATACAAAGTTTTACTCCTTTTAGCTCATTATAAAATATAGCAGCACTGCATGGATGCTGCTGCCACAGCTTAGATATATAAGCTGTGCTTCTGCCCTTGTTTGGCCATTCGCTGATAGATGGCTCTGTTTTTGTTGTTGAATGTTGTAAACTAAATAACTAACAACGCAGAGCCAAATCTATTCAAAGAGGCAAGATCAGTGATGGCGAGCGGCAAACTTCAATTACCGTCCGTAGTATCCTCTATTGTATACGTCCTCTTTGCCCGAATAATGCCGAGAAACTTGGATATGTCCTGAATAAATATAACCGACAACACCGGGTCACGTCGACATGGAGTTGAAAATGGCACATATGCAGCTCGGACTTTTACTTTGAAAAAGCCACACTGGGCGAAGCCAGTTCAAAGGCAAAAGGTCAATGAAGCCAACCGGCAGATTTCAGTGACATTCCACGCAGGGTCCTCAATAATAATAATAATTGTATTAATTCTATGCGATCATCAAGCGATGACATAGAACCAGACAGATCAGAGTATTTAGATTTGGAATCACTTACATATACGTTAAAGTATAAATAAATAGGTAAATAACAAACATTACATACTGTCCTTTTCTTTAATGTCCCCCTCCCCTTTGATTTGGGGGGGCTGGCCGCCATCTTGAAAAAAAATTATATGAAAACGGGGGTCTTGTGGCACATCATTTCGAAGCTCCTGACGAGTACTTTATAACCCTATAATATGAAGTCAATACCTTCACCTACTACAAAATGGTGGTACATTTAATAATTACGTGAATACATTGACATTTAACTTGATAATTCGAATAAATACGTTGAGTTCAGTTTAGATGATGCTGGAAATGGTTGCCTTGAACTTATTGACGCAATAACAGCCGGTCCGTAATTTCGCGTCGAACATTTTCATAGCAACATCGATATTTCTACAAATATTTGTTATTCTCAGCTGTATATCCAATATTGAAGCAGGTTCAGTTTCGTACACCTTTTGCTTCAAATAGGCCCATAAAAAAAGTCTAAAGGTGGCAAATCTGGCGAGCGACCTGGCCATTCCACAGGACCTCGACGGCCAATCCAGCGACCGTGGAAATTTATCTAAATAATTCCCAACTTGTCTGTAGTAGTGTGGTCGAGCACCATCTTGCTGGAATACAATATTAGTATCGAATTCATTAGGATTCACTTCAACGATTTCGGTGATTAGAGGGTCCATAATATTTTCCAGCATATCTAAATACAGTTCCCCGGTTAAAGTTTGTTCGATGAATAGAGGCCCCCACAATATGATTTCCCAATATTCCAGCCCAAAAGTTAATTTTTTGTAGATATTGAGTATGAGTTTCCCGGAAGACGTGAGGATTGGTCTCACACCAGTAACGACAATTTTGTCTATGCACATTACCGATGAGAAAAAATGTACATTCAACAATAAAACAAATATTTTGGATATAGGTAGGATGCCGTGCAATGGTTTCCGTCATAGTTTCGCAGAATTCTGTTCTTCGATGAGGGTCATCTTCAGTTAGCTGATGAACCATTTGAATTTTGTATTGGTGATACTTATTCTTTCTCAAAAGTCTCCATACAGGAGAAGGACAAACTTCACAAACATTCGCGATGGAGGAAATAGACTGTTGGGGATTTACTATTATCTCACCAATTATTTGAACTTGCTTTTCTTCCGGGATGGTCGGATGACCTGGGGGCTTTTTGTTGTTTACACTACCAGTAGCTGTAAATTTAGATACAAGTTCTCTTAAATATTTCCTACAGATAGGACGATTCGGGAAAGGATCATTAAAAATCCTTTCGGTCTCGTGAAAGTTACGCGTCGCACCATAAATAAAAAACGCTTCGATTTTTTCTTCCAATGGACGAGAATTGACCATTTTAAAAATAGTTCAAACAGTATCTAGCTCAAAAACCGAAAACTAAATAAGAATATTTTAGCTGTTTGTTTTCGTACTGATATTCTTGTCACTGTCAACAAAAAATAACAAAACAAGTTTTTATCGCTGTTGCTGTGGATACGGCTGGTAATTACGATTATTTGTAGAGATATGCATGTTAGTGGGTTTGTGTTCAAGTAATTATTAAATGTACCATCATTTTGTAGTAGGTAAAGGTATTGACTTTACATTCTAGGGTTATAAGGTTATAAAGTACTCGTCAGGAGCTTCATATAATTTTTTTAGCAAGAAACTAACCGAAAATGAAATGATTTGTATTTGTAGGCATCCACGAAGTAGAAAGAGGCGAACAGGAGTTGCAGCAGCAACGCGAATTGGACCTGGCTAGGGATGCGGCTGGAGGCGAAAGTGAAGACGCAGAAAGCGAGTCTGGATCCGGCTTGGAGGGTGCAAGGGGAGGAGGATACGCCGGACTGGCTACCCCGCCGGATTCGCCGAACGCCGTTGTTCAGTTCCTCAGGGAGCACAGTCTGCAGTACGAAGGTGGGTGGAAGGAATTATGAAATTTGTGTGTCATTTACTTATGCGTATCCGAGTTCGGACCAGTTTGCATCAAGCCGCCTTTGCAATCTGGTATAGGGCCGGAATACATGATTAAATGACACACAAACTTCAAGGTTTCAAATAAAGTAATAAAAATAAGTGTAACAACCTATTCAGCGTGTTCGAAAAATAGACGGAGATATTTTAGAGGATGATTCCTTGTTAAAAAAACATGAAAAAAGTTTTTATAAACATGGTTCCGGAAATGCAGAGATTTCAAGATACGGAGTGATAAATAAAATAAAAAAAAATACATTTTTTATCAATATATTAAAAAAGATTTGATATATTATTACATATATATTATTATAACAATCAGAAAAATAATGGACAAAATCCGCAAAAAGAAGGAAAGTGGATTCGGGCAGAAAATATGATAGGTAACCCGAGCGATACGTATTTCTACTGATTGGCTTCATCAGTCCCGAAATGAATACACATCTGCAACTACAAAAGTAGGTGCGCATGACCATACATCGATACGGGTGTAACCTGAGGAGACGAAGCTGGAGAGAGAAAAAAATGACACACAGCAAGAGCCAACCTCCATCTTCGTGTCCTCAGGTTACACCCATATACGGATGTATGTGCATGTGTATCTACTTGTGTAGTTGCATAAGTGCATTCATTTCGGCCCTGATGAAGCCAACAAGCAAAAATACGTATCGCTCGGGTTGCCCGTCCTATTTTCTGCTCGAATCCACTTTCCCTCTTTTTGCGGATTTTGTCCATTATTTTTCAGTTTGTTATATACCTTTTTCCGCATAATCCTTTTCTCTTCATATTATTATACACCTTGGGAAATGTAGGTGCGTGAAAGACACTCGATTGTAGGATCCTATCTGGCAGCGTCGGAGTGTGACGGACAACGGGGTAAAGTAGAAGAGTGATAAAAGAGAGAGATGGCAGAACGGGCGCTGGCGCCTACCGCTTAGACGGATGCGCTCAACAAATGCGATTTGTTTCTCCCATTCGCAGAGTTGCCGATACCAATATGTCATATTTCTAAGAAATCTAAGTCTACCCAAATTTCGGGAAAAATAGCTGCGGATTCCACATAAGAGTATTCCAAAAATGAAAAAAGTTCAAACTATTAAAATTGTATAAATGTTTCATGGTTCAAATCATATTTTTCATGTTTGTATATTGTTGTATAAATGATTTTGTAATCCCTATTCTTGTTTCCAGTAGAGATACAACAGTATTGAGAGAAATCATGGACCGCTAGATAGGGCTACAACTACCATATGACTATCAAATAGTAGTGATAAACAGGGTTTGTTTATAGCACAGTTGCCTGGTGTGGCGAATTTGCGCCATAGGGGCGATTAGACAACTTTGAAGGACAACGGTTACTATGGTGCCCGGTATTCGGGAATCTGGCAATACCTTATGATTCCTAACGTTTATTAGGCCAGATTGTTTGCTGACTTGCGCAGTACAACATGACAATCAACGTGACTGAGCACCTGGTAACCCTGATTTAAGGTGTTATATTTAAAGAGCTTGGGGCAGTTAGGTATCTCGGTCACATGTTTTAATGTATTTCGAGAAATCCGTAATGTTGAGTAAATACTAGATCACGTTTCTTGCTTAGTTTGCTGAAAATTCTACAATAGACGTACATTTTGAGAAACAGAGATTTGGTGACGACAAAATTGTAAAAATATAACGCATTTTCGTAAAATAATTTCTTTATTGAAAAGACTGTGGCTTGATGACCCATTGAACGAGTATAGTGTCCCGCTCCGCTTTGAATATTCGAAACACTATACTCCAGCAGCATTCAGCTTCAATGTTATCTTTATGAAGTTCTAACGTCTAGGCATGCTGATTAAAAGCTTGAATGAATCAACACTTAACTCTAAATTCCCCACAATTCGGGAAGCTCTACTCAAATTGGCAACACAGCGTATCTGCCTATTATTCTCATTCGTGATACAGGTCTGCGGTTGACGGTAGGAAATATGTACGAATAGCGATGAAAGTAGACGAGCCGATGCGCTGTTGCCAAGAAATGATTTCCCATGTATTACAATGGTTTTTCCTAAGGTGTATATGTATTATTATATATAATATTATTTGTTGTATTAAGAGGCTAATTTGGCCCTAGATAGATTATAATTATTAGGTCCAGTTGCTTCCCGGGGGTCACCTTAGCGAATATTATTGGCAAAAAATGTACGCCACTGCATTTTTGCAACTTTTATATTTGTTGTTCGCTTAAGCATCTAAAAATACAACTTATTTGCATCTTGTATGTTTTTCGTACCTGACTTCTTTTTCGAGAAAAAAAATAAAAACCCGTTTTATTGCATGTCCATGGACAAAATTGGTTTATTAATTTTTGCACAAAAAATCATTCCTGCAACTTTTTTTTAATCTATCACCCTGCTATTGTGGAAACTCTGCATTTCTGGACCCATATTTATAGAAAAATTTTTCATATTTCTTAGAAGGAATCACCTTTATATGGACACAGAAAAAAGGGATTGTCATCTTCACCGAAAATATGCATTTAAAACAATACAACTTTATTCGATAGCACTTTTTTGAGGCACCCATTATACAAACAAAATATTACATAAAAAACTTTAGCCCCTATATCTTTTATATACAACTTTTTCTTCTAGAAGGTCTTATAAAAAGTTAGAGTTAGTCAATTTACGAGAATAGCCGGACAACAATATAAATCCAAAATGCATCGCCTTAATTTGTAGTCTTGTGTTATACCTTGCTTTTTCTATTATCCAGGTGGTATCATTCCTGAATTAGACATCTACGCCATACCCAGTGCAGATACAGCTCCAGTGAAAGAGATTTATTTCATAGCCATAATAGATGTACTGACACACTATGGTGTCAAGAAGCAAGCAGCAAAGGCTGCCAAAACGGTAAGCCTCTACTAATTACCCACTTGAAAAAACAGAAATGACATTTGATTCGATTTTTAATACTTCGGATCATACAGTAAGGAAATGTTTGCCAAATGTCGTGTACTTCACGGTACAGTGTTAGGCGCACCTTTTGAATTGAATGCTATATGGTATGGTGTTTACTTGATGACAGCTGTCATGTCCAGACCACGCGATTAGACGTCATGGTGCAGAATTCAAACGAGCAACGTTTAATTATTGTGAAAACTCACTATAAACATGGAGAAAATTACGCGGAAACAGTTCGCAAATTACGTACAATTTTCGGTCGCGATAATGCGCCAAATGAGTCGACAGTTCGCCGTTTAATTACAAAATTTGAACCTTACCAGATCCACTCTGCAACGAATTTTGACAAAAGATCTGTGTTTGCATGCGTACAAGGTTCAACAAGCCAACGGAACATGTGCAGCGCGGTGAATTCATTCAGTGGGCGCTGGAGCACCACCAAATTGATGCGGATTTCTCGATGGAAATCATTTTCTTTGATGATGAGGCACATTTTCAACTGAACGGATACGTCATTAAGCAGAACTGCCGATTTTGGGGTCCTGAAAACCCTCGTGCAATAATCGAACAATCACTGCATCCGCCGCGAGTTACCTTTTGGTGCGCATTGTGGAGTGATTGGTCCGTATTTCTTCGAAAATGCAGCTGGAACTGCGGTAACTGCTAATCGTGTGCGGTATCGCAAAATGTTAACCGAGTTTTTGTGGCCCCAGTTGGATCGAATTGATGTGGAGGATATGTGCTTCCACAAGACGGTGCGACCTGCCACCCAGCACGCGAAACAATGGTGTTACTGCGGACCAAGTTTCCAGACTATTTCGTCTCTCGGTTTGGCGATCAAAATTGGCCACCCAGATCGTGCGCTCTAACGTGCCATGATAAGGAAAAGGTGTATGCGAACAAGCCACAAACAGTCGAACGCCTTAAAAAGAGATACTGCGTGTTATCAACGAAATAGGGCTACAGTTCTGCGAAAACGTTATCCAGAATTTAAAAAAAAAAGACTAACCTTGTGCCAGAGGTTTCGTGGTGGCTATTTGCAGGATGTTCTATTTCATGTTTAATCGCAACTATTCCTTTTCATGTTGAAATATAAATACTCCGTTAATTCGAAAAGAAATTGTGTTTTTCTTGAAAATCAAATCCGGCGCTCTTATTGAAACACCCTTTATTATGGAGTGAATAAATATCTACTACTACTTCCAGTGTCATTTTTTAACGAATAACTTTTCATCATCAAAAGGTTGCCTGATACCTGAAGGTTTAAACGGGATACCATATCATTATAGACCAGTATACCACAAGGTAGTAAACGAGGTCCACTACTATTTATTTTTTACATTAATGACATTTGTAGTATTTTAGATTATTGTAAACTTCAGATATTTGCAGATGATACATATCAGATGAAAATATAGACACCGCTTTAAAAATGCTAAATTCTGACTTGCCAAAAATCTTAAATTGGTTAAATGTAAATAAACTAAATTTGAATACTTCTAAAACAAAATGTATGCTAATGGAATGGAAATACCTAAATGAAAATACTGTCACAGTTAGGATAAATGGAGAAATAATTGAAAATGTTGAATCAATTAAATATTTAGGTATATATATTGATAGTAAACTAAAGTTTGAGGATCACTATGAATACATTATTTCAAAAATTGCCAAAAAAATAAAATACTTTTATAGGGCTTCTCATAGTCTTGGTACCTATTCCAAGAAAATAGTTTATAATACAATTATTCTACCGCATTTACTATATTGTTCAACTATCTTGTTCACTGCCAATGAAGCTGTATTCTCAAAATTACAAGTCTTGCAAAATAAATCTATGAGAATAATATTGAATAAAAATAAGTACACCAAAATAAAATCTATGTTACAAGAATTGCAGTGGTGGAATATAAAAAATTTCATATCATATTTGGTTCTTATTTTTATATTTAAAATAAAAAATCATCTTTTGCCAGAACATTTAGAACACTACATAGAATTGAATAATCATTACTACAATTATTATATTGGGTGGTTTTTTAAAAGGTATAGGATTTGATTTTCAAAAAAACACAAAAATTTTGAAAAAACGATTAAATCTTTATTTGAGTCGATAGAACGGTCGATATAATTTAATGTTTAAAGATTATTTCATGTAAATGTTGGCCGCGGCTCCGCTTTAGATGGCCCAAGTGCAAGGTCCAATTTTGGCACACTCTCCAACATATCGGCCGGTATCTCACGAATAAATGCTTCAATATTGGCTTCCAGTGCGTCAATCGTTGCTGGTTTATCCCTGTAGACATTAGCCTTAACATGGCCCCACAAGAAATACTCCAACCGCGTTAAATCACACGATCTAGGCGGCCAATTGACGGGCCCAAACGTGAGATAAACTGTTCACCGAACTCGCCTCTCAATAGGGCCATTGTTTCGTGTGCGGTGTGGCATGTGGAACCGTCTTGTTGAAACCACATGTCAGCCAAGTCCAGCTCTTCCATTTTGGGCAAAAAAAAGTGTGTGATTTTTTCGGGATGCATTGGTAGCTCTTGCAATGCTTCTGGCTGGTCTTCAATCCAGATGCGGCAATTTTGCTTGTTAACGTACCCATTCAACCAGAAATGAGCTTCGTCGCTGAACACACTTTTTCGATAAAAATGTGGATCTTCCTCCAACTTTGCCAGCGCCCATTCACCAAATTGGAAACGTTGTGGGAGGTCGTGTGACTTCAATTCTTGCACCAGCTGTATCTTTTTTACACCCAAATCCTGTCGCAAAATTTTCCACGTAGTGGAGTAACAGAGGCCCAATTGCTGCGAACGGCGGCGAATCGACATTTCACGGTCATCACTAACACTGGCGGATACAGCCGCAATATTTTCTTCAGTCCTCACTCTACGTCTGCGTGTTGGTGGTTTAATATCCAATAATGTAAACTGGGTTCGAAATTTAGTCACAAGCTTCCGAATAGCTGCCTCAGTAGGCCGACCAAATTGCCCATAAATTGGAAGCAGTGCTCGATGCACTCTCTTAACCGAGCATGAATTTTGATAGTAAAATTCAATAGTTTGCAAGCGTTGTTCGTTCGTAAGTCGATTCATGGTTAAATTATAGACCAAACTGAACAAGTTTGACAATGACACAAGACACGATTCACGCGTCATTTGTCAAAAACAGTGTTGCCAAAAAGATACTAGCAAAAAAATCACCCATTACAAAAGGAAATATAGATTTTCATTTACAAAATTGCAATAGTAATATAACTAGCAAATCAATATTTCAGAAAGGATTACTTGAATTTAATAAACTAAATAATTATATAGAGTCTACTTGTAATTTGAAGATATTTAAAAGAAAATTAAAGGAATATTTCATGGACAATAATTCTTAGAGATGCAATTTTTTTTTAAATATGTGTATATTATGTAATTGTTTAGTTTTTTAGAAGAATGTAATTGTAGCAATTATGCTAAATAAATCTTAAACAAACAAACAAAAGTACAGAATATTGTATCTGATTTTGCTGGTAGGCTGATTTATTTATGCATTTTCTACATCATTTTTAATATACATTTTCTGTTTTTCAGGTGAAGTATGGTTCGAATGTAGACGGCATAAGCACCTGCGATCCAGAGCAGTACGCCAAAAGGTTTTTGGACTTCATGCAGAAAGCCATAGAGTAAGATGAATGATGTTCCGTGTTTATGAAAAGAAAGTTGTGTCAGATTTAGGTTTTGATTGATATTGCTGAATGTACGGGCATATTATCAATGGAAATATGATTATAGTGAATCGCCTTGTAGTGCATTTACAAATATTGCAATAAACTACATGGCAGACTAGGAGTGTTTATAGTTAGTGATAATAAAATTTTCTGTCTAACGAAGCGCTGGGTCAAGATAATCACGCTAATACAAATTAGTAGCTATTTGAACTTGCAGTCTAAACGATTATAAAACTAGCTGCTTTACACAATCGAATAAATTAATCAGAAAAATAGAATTTCTTCAAGGTAACAGGGAGCGAAATTACATGATCAAATTCATTAAAGTCAAGCATATCATCAGATATAGCAACTTCCTATGATACCAACGTGAAGGAAAAATACCGAAACATAACCTTTGTATGATGAACCTTACCAATATAAAGTTGACAGTATTCTTACATCCTGATTGTTCCTGATGAAATATTATATCCTAAATTAAAACCAAAGCGCCAAGCCAAACTGTGGAGAATATAATTTTCATCTCAGATCACATAACATGAACGCGTCAAATAACGAAGGTTATCTAGGAAAAAGAACCAAAAGTAACTAGAATTCGCCAAAACATTGACGCAAAATTAGAACAAGCTCTAATCTGGTAATTCATTCATGAATTTATTGTTGTAAAGAACTTGACAACAATTTTTATGTTTGTACGCTCCAACTTCTTCAAGGTTAAAAAATTGTTCAATTTATTGGATCGTGTAAAGCGGGTAATATACCCAGTGGGCAGCTCAGGTATGCTCAGTTTGTCAAACTCATGATAATAGTTTATATTACTGGGAGAAATTTTCAACTGTACTATGCACCTCCTCGCACAAAGTTCCACAAAATAGGATATGACAAGTTTATCGATTACACCACTGTTTAATATACCGTACGAATCGTTTACGGTTGAGGTCGTCCGAGTTTCAGTGTGTACGAGAGAGAAGCGTGCAACACGTACGAGGGCGGTTCAACAAGTACCCGTGTTAGAAATGAAGACACTATTTTTTCCAAAAATATTTTTTATATTTTTCAACCTAGTCCCTTTTTAGAAAGATACATTTTTCCAACGTTCCTGCCATTTTTTAACCCCTCAAAAAAATAGGATTTGCCGAACTCGCCAAAATACGCCTCTGCCTCGGCGATCACTTCCTCGTTTGAGCAAAATTTGTTTTCCGCGAGCCATTTCTTCATATTAGGGAATAAGAAAAGTCGCAGGGGGCCAGATCGGGTGAATGCGCAGGGTGCGGCAGCACTTCATAACGCAATTCATGAGGTTTGGTGGCGATAACTCCAGATGAAGGTGCTGGTGCGTTATCGTGCTGAAACAGCACCTTCTTTTTCGCCAAATGTGGCCGCGTCTCCTTCAATTTTTGTCGACTCACTGTAGTTTTTTTTCCAGTGAACGTCCTTCCTTTTTCTAGAAAATCCATGAGGATGACGCCGTTCCCATCCCAAGAAATCGTTGCCATGACCTTTCCGACCGATGGGACCGTTTTCGCCTTTTTTTGGAGCAGATTCACCGCGAGAAATCCATTGTTTTGATCGTTGCTTAGTTTCTGACACTGATTCGAAATTAACAGCCGCATCCGCTTGTGCACCGTGAGCAATCACGGCACCCAGTATGTAAAATATTCATTGCCGTTCCGGTCGACACACCTACGGTCTCTGCTACGCCGCGCACTTTCGTTTTTCGATCAGCGAGAGTCATGTCGTGGGCTTTTTGAATGATTTCCTCTGTAACCACGTCTGCCGGGCGTCCTGATCGCTCATCAAAAATGGAAGTTCGTCCACGTTTAAATTCGTTGGACCAATATCTAACTGAGGCCATAGATGGCGAAGTGTTCCCATAAACAGCATCCAACTTTGCTTTTATCTCCTCGCACTATATCCCATCCAAAAACAAAAAGCGAATTACCGAACGATATTGCTCTTTTTCAATCTAAGCGAAAATCACGAAACACGTGTTACTCCAAACTAACATATCAATCAGTCTGAAATTTGTTGCGCCGTCGTTTGATAGGTGGCAGCACACGATGATGACACCAACTACCCTCAGGAACCTAGGCAGCAGCGGTGTCCGCAGTAGTAGACTCTTCGGTCTCCTGATCAGTCGCCGTGCGCTGTGCGGGTTCGAATCCCGTCCCAAGAGAAATTTTTCTCTTGGATGTTGTGATTGTCCGTAGGTGGTAGACGGTCTCTGACTGTCGAACGCAGAGGTACCACCCGGGGGATCTCGTAGGCGGGGCCAGAATGTGCACACGTGTTCCCTCGCCAGAGTCCGTGTAGCGTTCCCCCTTTCCCCTGTATCCCCCTATAGCCCCACATGGGTGTTTAGGCATAGGCGTTCGTGGTGGTTGGAGTATAAAAAAAGGAACGCCCTCTGTTGTCAAATGCAGGTACTTATTGAACAAGCCCCGTATGTTGGAAAGAGTGTTCCTTGGCCTTCCTCGCTGCCGTGTCAAACAACGTCGTCATTAATTAGTTTGGTTCCAACCCGTTTGGGAAACTTTCCAATCAATGTTGGGATCGTTCCGGAACAGTTGTGTTACAGTGAACTCTCGGTACCTTCATTGAAAGGGGAATCAAAGGAACTTACCTGCACAGTAGAACTGTTGTCAGGTGACTGCCTCTAACCTCCATCCAAACTGTAAATGTGCTCTAATAGCTGTATGTTCGTTGTTGTTGAAGATTTATTTAGCATGAATGCTACAATTACATTCTTGTAAAAAACTAAACGATTACATAACATACAGATATTCAGAAAGAAAACAAAATTTGCATCTCTAAGAATTTTCATTGTCCATGAAATATTCCTTTAATTTTCTTTTAAATATCTTTAAATTACAAGTAGACTTTATATCATTATTTTGTTCATTAAATTCCTTTCTGAAATATTGATTTGCTAGTTATATTAGTATTGCAATTTTGCAAATGAAAATCTATATTTCCTCTTGTATAATAATTGTGGTAATGATTATTCAATTCTATGTAGCGAAATTTTTTATATTCAACCATTGCAATTCTTGTAACATAGATTTTATTTTTGTGTACTTATTTTTATTCAATATTATTCTCATAGCTTTATTTTGCAACTTGTAATTTTGAGAATACAGCTTCATTGGCAGTGTACAAGATAGTTGAACAATATAGTAATATAGTATATAAAATATAGTAAATTTTGTTCGTTCGTTATTATTAAATCTATAATTGTTCTTGATTGATAGAAGATAATTTATTACTATTGTCCGGCTTTCCTTGCGTTGAGTAGTGACGGGACTATCGGTCACAAAAACGATTTCAAAATCGTTCCAAGCGCAGAAACAATTCTGGAAGCATAATCAGTATAAAATCCTATCAAATGACAAACGGGTGGTTGTGGTACGATACCAAGACTCAAGGTTGGAACAAATCTCTTGTGTGCGCACTATTTCTAACATGCTTCTATCGCATCTCTGTCACTCGTATACATTGAAAACCCGCCGATCCCAACAGTAAGTGATTCGCACGGTATGAGGTTTATTACAAAAATCCGCTTTAATCCATCCTCCATCACTACACAATTTAAATGAATTTTACCATACGTTTTCTCCCTCCTGACTTGACAACGCAAGTTTGCAGTCATTAATAGAGGCTTTGAAACTTTTTCGTTTCAATTTGACACAACTTTCAGCAGTAGTAAGATCATGCAACTATGAAGAAGCGGGTGACTCGAAAAATCAGAGTATTCTATATTATCATTTAATGATCCTTGAAAAATATTGAATTGTACTGGGTGTTGCAATGATATGGTGGGTTTGTTCGCACAATCATTTACCTATTCTAAGCAGAAACGTCAAAATCAAGAAGCTACTCTTGGGTAGATATGTAACCAGCTGTTGAGTGTTCTAAGTTACAGTTTACGATAAGCCCTTAAGAAACCAACGTCATTGATACTAGAAATAACAGCTTTACAATAAGCACTTACATGCTGACCATTTTTAGTTAGTTGTAGCTCTTATCTAGCTGACTTTTTGTGACTGACGCTTAATGAATCATTTGTCATGTGACCCTAGACTTTTTGGAATGAGTACACCAATTAACTGTAACTTCCAAAGTAAACGGTAATGTAACCAAGAAGAGTATAAACAATTAATGGCAGTGATGACAGATATATGAAGAGCCGTCATGGTAAGCGTGAAGTTGTTTTCGTAGAAACATTCAAGCAGGTTAAGACAGCATGCTAATCTATTCGCGAACTGCATGAAACCCATCAAAATGCAATCCACAAGTCGTTATTCACATACACTATTTCAAAATTCTTAATAGTATGGTAAGGCCCACATGAATTTGATTCTTGTAGGCGTGGAGGAGTATTGAATTTTCTTGATCAAACGACGCGTGAATGGCTTATTTAATGATGAATAAGGTAAAAAATTACATACTATTTTGAGTGATATATCCATTGCAATACTACAGATGCTAGGCGAGCTCCCGCTTCAAACTTTTGATGCTGCTAAAGCTACGGATTTCTGTATCCAAGCTACATCTACCTTTATTTCAAATTCAAAACATTTGTTGACTGGCTAACTCAAAACAATAACTGTGTGTGATTTCTAGTCTAAAGAAGTATTTGAATACCCTTTATATCGTGGATTGTTAGGAATGTTCAACAAATATTTTCGTTTTCGTTTTATAACTGAAAAACGCGATATACTCTAAGTATGTTGATTTGTCTAATAAAATATATTCATTAATATTGTTCCGTTGTATATTGCCCAGGAATTTTTATATGTATATAAATTAATAATTGTGATGTAATGTAGTACTTTTTTTTTGTAAATTAACTTTATGTCCGAATTCCAGCTATATGCGGCTAAATGCCAAAGGGTAATCGGAAACTACATCTGAAAAAAACACTTGATTTTTAAAATATGAATCGCTTGCTTCCTGCGATACATTTATTTAGCTTCTATGGTATTCACCTCTTTGAGCATCGCATAGTTTCATTAATGGATGTTTCAATATTATATATTTGATTTTGAAGGAAAACACAATTTCTTTTCGAACTAAGCGAGTATTTATATTTCAACATGAAGAGGAATAGTTGTGATTAAACATGAAATAGGACATCCGGTAAATCGCAACCACAAAACCTCTGGGACAGGGCGAGTCTTTTCTTAAAATTGTGGATAACGTTTTCGCACAACTGTGGCTCTATTTCGTCGCTGCGTATGGTCCGTTGGCTTGAGTTCTTGGGTCAGTTGAACCTGAACAGATCTTTTGTCAAAATTCGTTGCAGAGTGGTAATAGTAAGGTTCAATTCTTGGCAACGATGTCAAATGGAAGTGCCTGGATTATCGGCCACACTTTCCCGCGCTGCTATATTTTCCAGGGACCCACCAGGATGGCGACGAACAGTGGTCATTCAACAACGTGAATTTTGTCTCAAATTTTGTCGCCGTGCGCTGTGCGGTTTCGAATCCCGTCCCAGGAGAAATTTTTGTCTTGGCTAAGGATGTTGTGATTGTCCGTTAGACGGTCTCTGGCTGTTTAACGCGCCAGAGTCCGTGTGGCGTTCCCCCTTTCCCCTGTATCCCCCTATAGCCCCACGGTACCCCATGGGTGTTTAGGCTTTAGGCCTTCGTGGTAGTTGGAGTATAAAAAAAAAATTAAATATTGCTCGTTTGAATACTGCCATGACGTCCAATCGCGTGGTCTGGACATGACAAGCTGTTATCAAGACACCATACCATTTGTACAAAAAAATGGCGGCAAATTCAAATCCAGCGCTCTTGTTGTATTTATGAATTTTACGATTACCCTTTGTACGCAGTGGAAAAAGTACCTTTGATTTATTTATTTTCATTTGGTGAAAGTTTGGTCAATATATCTCAATAGAATCAAATTTTAGCGGTACTAAAATAGAAAATGGAGGACCGGTTTTTTATTCCATGCGCTTATTCATGGGTACTAAGGTAACTATTCCATATTGTAGTTTTGATGTTTTCTGTACTATTTTTAGTGTTAAGGAATTCCTTGTATACTATTATTATATATTTGTCTCAATAATACTGAAAAATTCTCTATTTGCATTAAATTCAGGAAATATTTCCTGGGTGGGGAAGAACTTCATTTCGTTTCTATACTATTATTGGTTTTTATCGTTGTCATGGCACATAGTGTGTGAAAGAAAAGTTGCTGCCAGATTAAATGAAATATGAAATGATTTTGATCTAAGTCGACAGTTTTAATTATAGATTTTTAAATCACCAGTCAGCCGGAATTATAATGCAGTGTTGAGAAATGAAATCGTGTCAAGCCCATTGCAATGAGGCTAATTTCTGATATACGACTGAGTTGAAATAGACAGCAGTACTATTCATTGAAAAGTTGACAATTATGAGAGATATCCCGGTGACCATACTAATGCTTTGTGATATGCTTGAGTACTGTTTTCAATAATTATATATGTAAAAGTATAATAAGTTTCTTCCCCTCCTCTACCGACTAAATATGAATTAATACAGGTACTCGCAAGTATTTGTGTTATTCCTTTCTGAATATCTTTTTTATACTTTTTATATAAAAAATTCCAAATATGTGATGTATCGATAGTTTCCCTTTAGTTTTTATGTTTTAGTAGTGGTACAGAATCAAATGTATATTATCAGTGTATTTAAGGTGAATTTACAGTCATATCAAAAAGGATAGGATGGAAAAACCAGTGCTAGCCTAAGAAAAAATGCTTCAGAAGAGTTATTTCCAATAACTAACGTTTTTCAAATTCCTCCCGTTTGCGAGACAACCGCCGTTTCCACGCAATAGTGTGAATTTGTTGAAATTCAGTAGCATATCGGGTTTCAGTAACACTAATTCTGTGTCACTTAATCCGCCGACTTTATCGTGTTTTACTATACATTCTATTCTTTTTGGTTATGAGCTTTTCGAATCAGAATATTACAATACTATTTTCATCAAAATTACATGTTTCCTCTGCAGTCTTCTGTCAGTCATTTTCTTTTATGAATAAAGCTTCTAAGAATATAGAGTATATATACTATTTTAATTAAAAGTGTGAAAGCTACATATGAGATGCACATTAAAGGAAACTTCAGTTATATCCATCGAGATAGAATCTAAGGAGGCGCTATTATAATCGCTTTTGGATATCAAAAAACTGTCAGGGGGCGGAGACAAGGCGACATTTGTATTTTATAATGACACAGGTTTGGCATAAGTTTCACACGTACGAGGTCTGTAAATTAAGCATTCAAATATAACCTTCTGAAGCTTCACAGTGTCGGAGACTGTTCTTCCATTCCTCATAGCAGTACTGGATCTCCGATACTGGAATAGCCTTCTACTGGTCGTTTACAGCGGATTGAATGATTTCGATTGTCCCAAAATGAGTTCCCTCGAGGTGATTTTTCAACTTCAGGAAGAGAAAAAAGTGACGAGGATTCAAGTCAGGCGAATAGGGAGGCTGAGGAGCCACAGGCATGTTTATACTGGCTTAAAACTAGTTGTTCTTATGTTGACACGAATGACCCTTTATCGAAGTTTTTCAAGAACCTCCCGGTAAAAATGTCGAATCACCGTGTGACCTTGAAGTAGAAACTGTGGACGATTCCGTATACAGGGTGTCCGCAAAGTTGGGGTTTTCCCTTACACGACGTGTAGATCTTGAAAACATAAGCAATTTTTCTTAGTACCATATACACCAATGTCTTAAGGGAACCGAGATAAAGGGCTATGCAACATCAAAAATATCTTAATACCGTCCTGTAGCCGCGACCCGCGACATCACCGAGTGGTACAAGGTCACTTGCTCAATCCACGACAGAACTGGGTCGGGGTCAGTATGCAACCTTCAACCGTAATCGCGTAGGCGAGAATACCTCAACAAGCACTAGAGACGTGGCTAGAGAAGTGCAAGTATCAAAAACTAAAGTGTGGCAAACGCTGCGTGAAGAGGGGCTGTATCCGTTTCACGTCCAACGTGTACAAGCCCTTCAACCTGACGATTTTCCAGCAAGAGTGCGGTTTTGTGAGTGGTTGTTGCATCAACATGACAATAATCCGGACTTTTTGAAGTGCATATTGGTGACAGACGAATCTACGTTCACGCGTAATGTGGTGAATAACTTTCGCAACACTCATGTTTGGCCAGTAGAAAATCCGCACGCTGTGCGTCGGGCACATTTTCAACAAACATTTTCGGTGAATGTTTGGGCTGGTATGGTGAACGGTATGCTCATTGGACCATTTATTCTCCCAAATCGATTGGACGGGATGCAATACCTAGTCTTTTTATGCAACATTTTGAATTCCTTCTTAGAAGATGTGCCATTAAGTGTAAGACAATCAATGTGGTTTCTGCACGATGGTGCACCGCCCCATTTTAGACGCGAAGTGCGTGAGTTTTTGAATGAATTATTTCCGAATAGGTGGATCGGACGTAATGGACCCGTAGCGTGGCCTCCGCGATCTCCAGACTTAACACCATGTGATTTTTTTCTTTGGGGAGAAATGAAACGCTTAGTATACAAAACTGAAGTGCATACGGTGACGAACTTCGTCTCAGAATTGAACAAGCTGGTGCTTTCATTCGGGGGACGGACTCCATTCTCAAAGCCTGCACCGATGCATGGCTACGTCGTGCACGCACCCGTGTTTTTGAATCAAACGGCGATAACTTCGAGCAATACCTATAAAGTACGTTTACCTAAAAACTGAAAACGCGGCAACGCCGTCATATTTGTTACCTCTGTTCGTGGGATTTCATTTTCTGTTGGAGCGGTATGATTTCGGGCAGAGACGTACTTAGCCCTTCTCGTCAACTGGAGAGTGAGTACTTTTTCCTTTATTTTTTTTACTTGGTCGCCCTCGTTTCACTACACATTACCTTTGTTATTTCAAGGGTAGTTGTTTCTGAAAAGGAAAACCCCAACTTTGCGGACACCCTGTACATCGAAAAAACAAATCAGCATCATTTGATCTTCGACTTCGTCTTTATTGCTTTTTTTGGCCTTGGAGAAGTTGGAGTGTGACAATCCATGGTCAGGCGCTTGGTTTCTGGGTCGAACTCAATCACCCAAGACTCTTCACCAGTAATGACACGTTCCAGAAAATGGGGTCATTTTCAATGGAACCAAAAAGTAAAGGCACCTTTCCTTAGTGATGTCCTTTTGGTCTTGCACATAGGAGTCAAGTTGGCATTGATGAGACCTGTTTTTTTGCCTCTGGTAGTACCCTTGTGGTATTCTATAAACCATACCAATAATAGGCCAGTTGACACTTAGGTCTTAAACTTTGATTTGAAAATATATTTTTCTGATATAGGCGACCTATATAATGTCAACAAAAAATCGATAAAATGTCAACTTGATGACTAGGTAGGCTAGTGTGCAAATAGTTCATTCCGCGCTTGTTACAAGTGAGCATGAAGTTACGTAATACCCCTGCCGGTATGCCTCGTGGAATAATGAAACTAGCGGACTAGTAAGTGAAGGTTTTCTTATTCGCCTCCCAGGAATGAAACATGAATCCATCACTTGAAGCCTCCTTATTGGGAGGATGCCTCAGTCTTTCCGAGAGTTCAGATACATGCGAGTGATAAGAGATTTGTTAAGACATCGGCAGGGTGATTACGTAAAAAAACTATGTTAAAAAAAGCTATAAAATGCCAACTTGTTGACTAAGAAGGCTAGTGTGCAAATACCTCATTCCGCGCTTGCTACAAGTGAGCATGAAGTGAACGACAGCTAGTTCCAAGTTGACGTCTTGTAAAACCTACATAATGTCAAAAAAACGACATAATGTCACTTTTCTAATTACGTGGTACCCCTGCCGAGGTCAATGAGGATCTTAAACCTAATTAGTGAGTTCGCAAAGTCATAACCTTCAGTTAAACCCCCAAAATCAAAAATCATTATTTTTTCACCAAAACCTTTTATATAATCAAAAATAATTTTAATATAAGCCTATGTTAAAAGTCATAGGAAAAAGCTTTTACGGTCCAGGCCGTACTGACTGTTTGGTGGAATATTAATTTAATTTGACATTTCTCGCATGAAAAAGTTTAGCATTAAAGTTGCATGAACGGTCTTATTTAGCTATAGTATTGTTTCAACATTGACACTAACGCTAATGTAAAAGAAATGTTCCATATAGTTTAATATGTGAATGTTGATTCAAATGTTGGTAACAAGGTAAGTAAAGAGAAATGCTGTTTGTGAAAAATTATGTATTACTCTTTTATGTACACCTAGATATTTTACAATTCACTTAATGCACGTAATTATAAATAACGCGTAAACTTCAGGAGAAAATAAATCACAATCACTTAAATACCATTACAGTACAAAATATACCTGAATACAAAAAATTCAGTCAATTCTTAATTGTACTTATAAAATACAAAAGCACTTCAAATTCCAAATCTTGGACTAACACTGCTTTTGACAGTCTGTCAAGTTTTCAACGTGTAAGCCGAATTTCAGATTCACATGGCCGGCATAGATCAAATTTTCGAAAACTTCGAGTCAAGTTTGGAACATAGTGCAAAACACAAATCAATTGATTGACTGTACAAAGAACAAAATCTAATTTTAATCGCAATGTAAATAGTTACTATAACAAAATCGAAATTCATCAAAAATACAATCTATGCTCATTGGACAGGCCTTGTTGATGTTGATAAATTTTGTTAAGTAGTTCCAATCCACTTTGAAATTATACGAATTTAGAACGGCATATCAAAATGTGTACAAAGTTGTAAACATTGCATACATCCCATATGCTCCCTCACGTTCTAAAAATAGGAGTTCAACTTACAACTATTATTTACATGGCACCTGACCTGAAATCAAAAATACAAGGTTCATTGTTGTGGTTTTAACCAAAGAAAACAGAGTCAATGGAAGAGGCACTGAAAAACCGAGCACCGAGCAATTAAGAAAAATGAAATGCGAAAGGCTTCCGCGACCATCATCCAATGTTGTTTGGTTGTTTTTTTTTTGGGTAAAATATTTTTACTTGACACGAGTGGTCGGCATCTTCAGAAGATGCTCACAGTTCGGAGTCCTGTGAGCTACTGAGATCTCTATCTCACTCACACACACACACACTTTCCTACCCTATGCGATCCCACCACCACCCTAGTTCCAGGCAACATCAAACCTTGAGGAGTGGGGGGAAAAGTAACCGGCTCCTCCCCCCTTTCCCGCCCCCTGGCTTGGAGTGACGCTGCGTGGCCCAAGCACTGCACTTGTTTTCCCAGTGTGTGCTGCTGAGCAAGCTACCCCCTCCCCCTTTTTCCTGAAGTGACTCGATCGCGTACACGTCGCGGAAGGGCGTGGTGGACATTTCTTCCAACTGTCGGTTCTCGAATTTTACGGACGGCCTCTTTCTTGGCCTTCTTTGACCTAAGCTCCGCATTAAGGTTGTGGAGCCTTTGCTCTTTCCACGTCGCACATACCGAGTATTTGAATTAAAAATCCGGACAAAAGTCGATTTTGAAGAATAGCTCGTATCGCAAAACTGGTATGTGCCTAAGATGCCGGTACAGATGCTACAAAAAGCCCCACACTTTTTGGTTTACCCACTGCTATTTCTCACCAGTAGTCTCGGTGCGAATTTCATCATTCTTCAAAGTTTTAACAAGTTATTACGAATCGTGTACCAGTTTTTCAACATGGACGTTTCTGAGGCAGGTATGTACAACCTATTTTGTCAATTTTAATTGTAATAATAGCTGATTTATTAGAAAAAATGACGTTTTCTCGAAATCTATGTTCCAATCATTTTTACCTTTCGATATTAATTAAACTCGAATGGTTTTGATGAATTTCTGAATGTATCCCGGTTATGATTTTGGTCTCATATATATAATTAGATCTTGGCTTATCGACAGAAAATGTTTCCAACTTCAACCAAATTTAGTATAATCGCCAAAAAGATGAACGTTCGTTTAAGCCATTTCTTTTCTTTCTTTATAGGGCCCTATGGAGTCAAGATCATTATCCGAAAAAAAAAATTACACTATGCAAGGGTATCCCAATAACGACATTGGACTATGCTGAATCTTTTCTGTTGAATTCTCAAAAATATTCAGAAGAACAACGAAAAGAAGTTACACAAATTGTCAAATCTAAAATCAGAAAAAAAAGTAGATGGATTGCCGCACATTACATAGATCTTTTCCTTAAAAGAAATAATCGTTGGCTCCAAATGTCATTTGAAATACCACAAACAAAATCACGACCAGGGCGCCCACAGAAATCTTTTAGTAATATTAGCGAGCGAAGTAAAAGACGAAAAACAGAAGCATTCCGTGGTGAAATAAGCTCTGAAGAGTTGACTTTTGACACTCATACGAAGTTACGTTCTGAGGGCAAGACTGATGCTTCAAAGGTGATAAAAGACCTAATGCAATCTCTAACGCGAGCAAAAAATATCGAAATGACGGAAAGCATCAACCGTATTAACCCCAATGAAAGCATTGTCTATGTTTGTCGAAGCTGGCCTGACTACAAGACAGTATGATACAATTAGAAGTTTTAACAAGAAACTATACCCATGCTATACGATCTTACAAAAGGCTAAAAAAGACTGTTATCCTGTACAAGAATCTTATAAAATCACTGCTACTGGCGCTGAACTAATCTTCAAGATTTATTAAATCATACTGCTTCGCTGCTTTTGTTGCATTTGACAGATGTTCTCCAGAATTTAAATAGTGAAGAAAGAAACACGCTAATTTTGACATACAGGGTGACTTTGAAGTTGAGTCATTAATTTTCAGATAATGATTGTAGAAGGAAGATAAACCAAAATATGTGTGTAAAAATAAAAAAAAAATGTTACCTTGTTTTATAAAGTATCCTCCCGACAAGTATTTCAGTGCGGACCTGTATTTGATCGTGCGGTCTTGGAGCACCGGCATGCCCTCCCCTGTGAGGTCTTAAGTCACCTGATTCACGAGCCCTTTGTACTACATTAACAAAGACACGAGGGGTTGGTTGCACTCGATTGGGAAACCCATTCAGATAAATCCGTGATGCCGAGTAAATAAGAATCATGTCCACAGGTTCAGCATTTTCGTAAACATGTACCATTTTTGATTTCGTTTGAGCCACGCAACAGAAACCACTATTCACACGCGTTACAGACTGACACTGACTGTATACAACATCGTTCCAAATTCTTTCGTTTTTTTGTTTCCGATGCGATGAACCGATAAGGCGGATTATATCCTTTGTTGCCAAACACGACACATAATATTATTATTGAGACAGGGCGGTACTCAAACTTCCAAAGGGCTATAACTTTGTTACTTTAATTTTACCAGAAAAATGGTAAAGGAAAAAAACATTTCTTTTGATCAGATCTACTCACTGTTAAAATAAATGACTCAACTTCGAAGTCACCCTGTATAAATGGGGATGTGATGAGTCACAGCAAACAACATTTAATCAAAAATTTGAAAATAACTTCGATTCTGATGCAAATATATTCCAAAGTTCATTTGTTCCGTTATAGTTGTCTTCTAGCGAAGGCAGTAAGATGATATGACGAAACCCGTTGCCTTCTTCGACCCATTCGCATAAGATTTGTGAAAGAAACAGTAGATATCACAAACGACGAAATTAATTATATAGAAAACAAAATAAAGTTTTTGGAACCGACACAGGTTGACGCAATTAAACAAAAGCTTTCTAGTAAAACATGTAATGATGCTCACAATGGTTGATGCGAAAGTGTGTAATGCCGCAACCAACACAAAATCCACGATGAAATGCTGTATTTGCGGTGCTACATCCAAAGACTTCTACGATTTATCAAACAAACGTCCTTGTAATGAAGATTCCTTAAAATTTGGCTTATCAATTTTGCATGCCAGAATAAGACTGTTTGCCAGTGAAGAAATGGCAATTCAGAAGTAAACGAGATAAACAAATAGTTCAACAAACGAAATTGGAGATACAAAAGGAATTTATATCCCAAATGGGTTTTATAGCTGATTTTCCAAAAGCTGGTTTCGGGAGCAACAATGCTGGGAATACCAGCAGGAGATTTTTTACGGATCATGAGCTATCAGCAACGATAACCGGTATAGATTCCCGTCTCCTTTTTCATCTTAAAGTAATTTTAGAAGCGATATCAAGCGGCCATAAAATAGACAAACAGAAACTTGAAATATTTAGTTTGGATACGGCACAACTGTACGTTTAATTATATTCGTGGTATCCAATGACACCAACTCTTCACAAAATACTGCTCCATTGACCCATCGTCATTGAAAAAACTTTATTGCCTATAGGAATGATGTTAGAAGATGCCGCAGAGACTCGCAATAAACACTTTCAGTTATACCGCCAAAATTATGCTCGGAAGTTCAGCAGAGAGTCTTGCAATCTATCATATCATAAATAGGTTATTATTGAGCTCGGATCCCCTGATAACTGGCATGAAACCTACTCCCAGAAATATTACAAAACCATTTCTCAAGGAAACCGTTTAACGCTTTAAAATAACCTTGAATCACACAATAATGCGTTCCCTTAAGGTAGGCCAGATTACTTACCAGTTTTAATCTGTATAAACAATGTAATCAGGATCAGCTACTTCGACTTGTACAAAAGGTGATTGTATCATTTGTATGGTATTTGGTTGCCTCTGCATATTATTCCTAGACCTGCATGAAAAAAGCGACATTTTAGATGAGATGTCTTTCATCAAATTTATAAGTACTCACTTAGCTTTAGCATGAGTTAAGATATGACTCTTAAGATTGGTAGACTGAGCAAATTTCTTGTTGCAACCATCGAACGGACATACATATGGCCGATCACCCGTATGGATCCTGACATGTGTCCTGAAACAAGATAAGTTCCACTCAACGAACGGGTCAACATAGGTAGTTATTCATTCAGCTGCTAAGATTTAGTGCTTAACCTAACGCTAGATGTCAACTGAATCCTTCAAATTTATCGACAGAAGTCACTCCCAATGCTTTCTGACTCCGTGGATGAAATAAGTTGTGCAGAGCTGTGCTAATTGCCAGCTGGGTGCAATTGAACGTAGCAATCGACGTAAATGTCAAATAGGGTTAAAGTTAACGTTTACAAACACGTGTCATTGCTAAAACTGTGTGGTGATGCGGTGAAAATAGGAGTCATCGAATTTAGGAACAGTTGAAACAGTTAGCAATTAGGTACTCTAAATTATCATGCAATCAATGCAAATCACATTGCTTAACTAAGAAGCGGAGCCAGAGACTCAGTTCATTGTTTATGATTGATCCAAACATTGGCTTCGGCCAAAAATTTACCCTGTTTTAGGACATACAAAGAAAATATAAAGGAAAAAGTTGCTCAGAATATTTTTCCCAATGAAGCTGCAGTGTTCGGCGTGTGTCGGACTATCATGGATTATGGTACACGTAGTATAAAAGAACAATAAATGACGAATTTGTAGTAAAGCATTGTTCAAGGGTCTATATTTTTAGGCGCTAATATGAAATAACTGAAATAACTTTTAAAATGTTCTTAAGAAAAAAAATTTTGGAATCAACTTGACCGTTAACTACCGAGTTGAAACGCCCCTAAAGATACGCAATAGGCTAGTTGACCCATATCTAATTTCATAGAATAAATGAGTATTTCTTACAGTACTTGGTTTAGGAAATACAAATTTTATTTTAAACAAAGAAACGAAATCCGTATGACACTCGTGGACTAACTTTTTCTCGTTTTATTGAAAAAACAATCAAGGACGTTGGATTCGAAGAAGCACAAATTTGCCGAAAATTGACACAAAGTGAGTAATTTTTTGCCTTCAACTACTGAACTGAGGATCAGCACGAGACATCTGTATTTGTCTTCAACGTTGGTAATAATGGTGTGTGAATCTAGTAAAACTTTCTTGTAGCATTTTTTTTGTATGCAAATGGACTTTTCTAAATAAAAGAGTTGTTAGCAAGCACAAAATGAATCTATAGCTTGCAAAAAACCAAAATAAAATACGGCTCTGTCTACCTGGCGTTGACGGATCCGTCAGAATTGTGTCGTTTGTCGTTATTGGAAATTTTGATATTTTTGGATATTACTAGATATTCTACCCTGATGGATACTCGAGAGGACGTGGATAACCCAAAAAGGGCACAATCTTGTGCAGCAATTTTGTTCTTTAATTTAATTAAGATATTTAATCATTACAAATGGTGATTAAAATTTCACGATTTTATTGGACTCAAAAAAATACATATAGTGGATACCAAATAAAATCCGATGCACGTCATAGGTGATGTCATTCATAAAAATCATGGTTACCAACAGTTGACTACATTCAATGTGACATTTCTACTTGAAGTTTAAATTTCCCCGTCTCGATTCGGTTGGTAGTGCCGTACAGAGAAATGTGAGGTTGCCACTTCTCATTTGTTGACATCAGTTGCCATTGTCCTTTTGTCGTACTATTAGTTCTTTATTGTTTAGTTTGTGAGTTTTGCGCTATTTGAGCTTTGAATCGTTGCCTTGCCAATTAAAAGTTGTTCTTTTCAGAACAAAAGTTACTGTGAAGTGGTATAAAGTATCCAAAATGCCAAAACAACTTAACAGTCGGTGTAAAGAGCTCATATCAATTCTGGCAACAGCGCACAGCTCCAGATCGATGACGTGCATCGGGTTTTATTTGGTATCCACTATAGTATCATTTTTTTGGTCTAATAGAACAAATATCAACTATTAAACTGCTTAAAAAATCTGTTAACCTGCCTATGGTACTGCATTATCAGCTACTTATCTCACCTGAGGTTGAAATCTAAACTGAAGCGTTTGCCGCACCCTTCGAATGTGCACTGGAAGGGCTTCTCCCCCGTGTGCACCAGCTGGTGCCTCTTCAACTTGCTGGATTCGACGAAAGCCTTGCCGCATTCAGCGCATACGTGCACACGTGGTCCATGCGTGTGCAGATGCTTCCTCATCGCAGAATTATCCCTGAACATCTTGTTACAACCTTTGTGCGGGCACGCTACAAGTTGCGAAGAAACTTTACAATCAATTAATAGTAGATCTGCCACGATTTCACTGTTGATTTGAAATATGTTAGCAGATAGGTTCATTTTCAAATGTATGACTTGAGGATAAATAATATTGTTGCTATAGCTTTGATACTGCTATTCGTTAGTATAACCTAAATGTGTGCAATAATCATGTTATATGGACGCTAAAAAGGCGACGCGAGAATGAAATAGAGCATCTGATAAACAGGAGTTACTTGACGGTAATTTTCGTCCTTTACAGCGCGCTCATAGCTTGACCAGCAAAAAGGCGTTGACATGATTGTTGTTCAACTATTTGCAGTACAGGAATGCCATTTACACAATTGGCCAACGCTGACGCCACCTTAAAAGAGTGACATGTTATGAAGACGCTAACAGTGCGGAGAACAGGATGCATTTTTTATGTTAAACGGAGGTTAAATGCGCGGCGATGATGAGCGGTTAATATGGATACAATGAGGCGTGAACCGAGTACTCTGTTTGCACCCGGTACTCCACGAACTAGGGGCATTTTACCGACTAGTGCAAAGCTCCAACACTATTGAGTTCAGAAGCATAGTTGTTTAGGCAAAATACTAGCTTGCTACTTGAATAATTATAATTTTCTTTTTTAAAAGGAACATCCTTAGTTCTGGGAGTATATGTACAGTAATGGACGACAGTACATACTCAAATATGAATATTTACCTAAATACCTTTAGAAAACGAATTCATACTTCATTGCTCCATAAACAAATGCGTTATTAGTAGAAAAAATAAATTCCTTGTTTTTTCATTATCTGCAATGAACACAATACACGTTTGAATATAAGCATTTTTTTATGAGGGACAAAAATATGTAGACAAATGTTTTCAAAATTAGTTTAGTACAGTTTCGTGTCAGAAGAGGATTAGTTTGTGTTCATCAAGTATTGTGGAATAAGTTGAGTGATTTTAAGACCCGTGCCGCGTGGTTTAGAAATTTCTTTGGATGTGAAAACTAAGATCATTGAGTTATACAAAGATGGTCAACGTCAAGTCGACATCGCCAAAAATTTGAAGCTGAAGCGTAAAGTAGTTTGAAAATATTGAACAAATATAAAGAAAAAGGTATCTTGGAAGTCTCTAAGAGGAGTGGCCGGCCTATAGAAAACCAAATGCTAGATCAGTTAGATTAATAAAAGTAATTTCGTCCAAAGATCCGTTTAAAACCCCAAGACAAATAAAAGCCGAAATAGGGACAAAAGGAATTGTCAGTGTTTCTACTAAAACTATAAGTAGAAGATTAAATGATTTGAAGTTATTTGCACTTCGCTCGAGTAAAAAGCCGCTAATCCCGAGGAAAAACCGTAAGGACCGATTACAATTTGCACGGTTGCATCGTGATTGGAGCATCTGTGACTGGAAGAGGGTAGGTTTCAGTGACGAATCCAAGTTCAATATGTTTAGATCAGATGGTGTTCATTACGTTAGACGTCCTTGTGGACAAAGATTGTACCCAAGTACACTTTGCCCACTGTCAAACATCGAGGCGGGTCTGTTATGGTTTGGGGGTGCTTTTCGGGGTTTGGGATGGGAACATTACATAGAATAGATGGCATTATGGATAAGTTTGTATACACAGACATACTAAAGCATGTCATGTTACCCTATATGGAAGACAATATGCCCTTAAGATCAATCTTCCAGCAAGATAATGACCCGAAGCACACTTCAAATCTCGCAATGTAATTCTTTCTGGATTGAAAAATACCAGTTCTCAAATGGTCTTCACAGTCTCCCGATATAAACCCCATTGAAAATCTATGGGAATACTTAGATAAGCAAAAACGAGATAAAAATTATTCAAACAAGGATGAACTTTTTGCCGCTTTAGAGCAAAAGTGGAGACAGATTGATGAATCTTATATCAAGAAACTTCTACAATCTATGCCGAGACGATGCCAGGCGGTGATTGATAATAATGGTTATGCTACAAAATATTAACACAAACATGGTTGGTTTTCTATAATTCAATGAACTTTGCTTCTTTTTTCTATAATTGTTTTGCTTTGTCTATATATTTTTGTCCTTCATAGTTCCAGTTTTTTTTTTGATTAATTTTTTATTGAAGGGAGTCTATGTATACAGGTTGGTGTATTAATAAAACAAGTTAAAAAAGAAATACAGCACAATATTAATTTGTCTATATACTTTTGTCCATTACTGTATATGTATACAATGACTCTGTGGAAAAAATTTTAATTGTCTGAATTAATTCTAAATCTGAATTTATTTGATGTTTCATTCCAATATGTCCTGACTCATGACGATACTTTATGCATTTTGTCTAATTTTAGCATGTTTGGGTCTTTTTTTTGTAGTGCCTCTATTGTGATTTGATAGTTGATATACGCCGAAAAAAGAATTTAAATTTCAATTAGAATTTGGAAAAACAGCAGACTACTCCCAAAAGCCAGCAAGATCTCAATGGACACCTGGGCGCCCGCAGGTAGCAAATTTTCTCTAAAAATCCGTAAAATTGCACTCGAAAGCATGCTAAATATGCAAACTTTATGGAACAACCGGTCTCTATTTTATTTTTAAAAGCTATAGAGCTTTTGCATGTATGACGAACTAATACCCAAGCTAATGGTGCTTGCTTTCCTATTACAATTATTTTCAGAAAGTATAGAGTTTTCTGCTTAGACATATTCAGTAACCTTGTGTCAAAATTACATCAAACTCTGAAAGTACTCTTAAAAAAACTCAAGTGTGATTTCCTCCTTGCTGTGGCAAGTTACATTGAGAAAGCAAAAAGCACACATAATTAACATACATGTTATAAACATTTCAATTCTGGTGCTCCCAGAAAATCACTACATGAACCCCTTACTTTCTCAAGGCTTTCGAGATTTATTATTTTGCATTAATTGCAAATGCTAGAAATACGTGACAAAGTACAACTTTACCTGACTGCCATAGAATAACATCTTATTAGCGTCAGTGGTTTCAAAAATGTTGACGAATTTTTGATGGCACATAAAACATATCAAGGTGTGAAAAGAGACATTATGTGCTTAGACTTTGCACACCACGAGAGAATTTATTTGATTTAATATCCGACACAACCTGGTAAAAAAGCGCCGAGTATGTAAACCGAGCACTCGGTGGATCCCTGATTCAATCACTTCAAATTCACTGCGCTGCTCTATTAGAGTAGAGCATCTAAAAATGGAGTTGCGTAACATCAAGCCTTCTGGAGGCGAATGTCAGCCTTTATAGAAAGCTCTTGCCTGGTCTACACTGAAGCGATTCTTGTTCGTACGATCTACATGACAGGAATACAATTTATCTGATAACGCTAATGCGATACTAAAAGCACGACTTATTCATTTATGCTGTGGCTCAACATCACAACCCAAAAGGTAAAAGTGAATGTAGGATGCCTGAGAAAATGTTGAAATATTGTGAAATCAGCACCTGAACGGATTGATGTGATGTTTGCCACTTGGTGCAGCAAACAGCATTTGACGACCATATAACATGTCTATGACAGTCTGTCAAATTTAACCGAGAGATGGCTGAGTAAAACCACAGAGACAATATTGGGTGCTCCATAATTACAGCTCTCTGATGTCAGAAATCACATATCTACATTTATACTATGAATTGTAGAAACCCTCAAAAAAAAAATACTGGGAAAAATACATATTTTAGGGGGAAAAATTAGAGAATAATGAGTAGTTTGATAGCTTTTTAGTGGGGATGCTGCTCAACTTAAGAAGCACTTCTAAAAGCAAGTGGAAAATATAGATTGTGTTACTATGTTGTGTAGCATCTCAAAATTAGCATTTCTGGAAAACATGAGTAAAGAGAGCAGCAAAATTTAGAAGATTTGTCAACCATTTCAGGAAATTTTCATTTTGTTGAAAAAAGTCAGATACCAATCTAACCATATACTCACCAATAGTACGATCAGTACTATCTTGATTCGGCCTGCGAATCCGAGGACTCTTCAAACCAGGTCTAGCAAACTCTGCTAACTGCTTGGGGTCTGAGAGGTCCAATCCAGGCATACCATCTGCTGATATCTTCTTCCCAGTCATGTACTCTGTGTAATCTGGATCTGGTTCAGGATTGGAACCCTCGTCTTTAAAATGCAAATAAGGTATAAACAAAATATACTTACAACAATAACATAAAGACATAGTGAATTTGCTCCAAGTTGCAGGTCAACAGTGGAATTTATCAATACAAAGAAGCCACTCTGCAAAATCGTCAAATTCAAAGCCGGTACCAAAAAATGTCAAATATTTGTAAACAAAATGCGGCGTTGCCAGAGCGTGAAAATAAATACCACTGCTAATGAGGTGCGAGTGCATTACTGCATTCAAAATAGTCTTAATTATTGAATCACATTTCTGTATACATCAAAATATTTCTTGCTGTTTTTAATGGTATTAGATTTGGTTTTTCGTAAAATAGATACGGCAACGACGCATATTGCCATGTTTGTTCCCTTACTCGCTTAGTTCTATCCGTTCAAATAATCCGTCTTTTTCTGGTAAAATTAAATTTGCTATATATCTATCCTTATCGGAACCCGTCAGTCCGGGGGGTGAAACGTCTTAAACCGCTCCCACACGATATGACGAATGCCTTACAACGTTGGACACATGACCATTCGCCACATCATGTGGGAGAGCGCTGACGGATTGCATGTGTCCAACCTCTTGTCGGTAAATTTGACCCGCGTCAAAGGACCTTACAACGTTGGAAGCATGGTTCGTTACGCTCCCACACGAGATGTGTTTGATGATTTTAGGTCAGAACCAATAGCGGCGACAAACATTATTTATTTGTTTGTTGTGATTGTAGTGGATATGTATTTTAATAAATTATCAAGTGCATACAGTTGTTTCATTGTAATGTCCTGTTGTAATGCCAGACTAGTTGAGCAATATATTGACTTACATTTCATAACTAACGAAAAAGATTAAATAAATGATCTCTGAAAGTACTATCAGGATTTTGATGAAATTTTGACCCTAGATTACTACTATGAAAATGACGAAAAAGCTCTGCAGTTTTTGAAACGGTCAAACTGCGTTTTTCGACATTTTTGAGGCTTCTGACTTCTGACAGACTTAAGTTTTGGTCGCCGAGGACAGACCTGAAATTATTTTTCGACGCTCGAAAATTTGCTCGTTTATTTTGTATAATTTTTCTTTCATTTGTAAAGGTTCAAGCGCAACACTGACACCAATAATAGGCGTTGGCACCACCATGCGTCGAACGTCAGAGACTAAAAAGTTCATCCCATCGTGTAGGAGACACATTGGCCAATTGTGGGGTGTCGAACGTTGTATAAAACGTTGTAAACAACGTTGGAAGCATCGTGTGGGACCCGCATTATGCGCGAACTGGCAACACCAAGGTCATCCTCTCCAGCAAAATCGAGGTAACTGTATTACCGGCATCATGTGACGTGCTGCTTGCCGGGATTCAGGGTTGCCAGGCGTGGCGATTTTGCGGCAAAGCGGCGAATTGACGGCTTCATATGGATAGCTTGGCGACTGGCTACTTTAATGCAACCCAGTATCCAGCAAACTGGTGATACCTGGCGATTTTAACATTTCTGAGGCCAATTAATTTGAAATCAATGTTTGCAGAGAAGTGCAGGGAAAAACAAATTTGTCTGACAGCTTGAGTCAGAAGGAGATAGAAGCTGGCTGGAAAGCGAAGGTCATCACTACATTGCCTAGCAATGGTGACGCAGAAGCTCATGCAAACTTCCGTGTTGCCAAAATGTTACACCAGAAAATGTTCGCACAGGCTTCTACAATAGGTTAGGTTACTGTCAAACCCAAGCAGGAGGCCTATTTGAGGGAGGGCGACACTCCCCAATGAGCGCTAGATGGGTACTCACCAAAATCGCTCGCCTATGATCATGGAGGTGATTTGTATATCTAGCATGCTTTTGTGAACGACTTCGAGAATTTTTTAGGATTGATCCCCTCTGAAAAAATT